TTTTACTCACTAGATATTTAAATAGGATACTTAGGAGGCTCCAACAGTTGCTGCATCTAATGGACAGGTAGTGTTGTAGTTTTAGATTGACGCTACAAATGTTTCTAGGACAATGTAGCCAATTGACATTTCTAGGAATGGATATCCCAATTTGTCATCCAATCTATTCCTGAGTATTGTTCTTCTTTTGTAGTAGTCTCTTGAGTAATTTAACTATCTTTTGAGGTGAATATGGGGTTTTCAATGTGAAGTTCCAATTAGTGGACATTGGTTGCTCAGAGAGGAAGACTCTATTCAAGAAAGTTTGGTTAGTTTCTTCCACTTCATTGCATAACCTATACATGGAGTCATCATTGAATATAACCACATTTTAGGTCTTTGCCCAGATGCCTGTGACTCGTATATAGCCCTGTCCCTCCCCTGAGTCATCACAGTACCCTAAGTTATGATTCCATATAGCCATATTTTCGCATTCAAAGATATGAGTGGCAGTTTATTTAAATGGGGGTATAATTTAACCGTATTGGTTAGCCCTTCATTTTAAATAACCACTGCAAGTCACCCAAATTCAGCAGAAGAAAAAAGCAAAACAGTCTGAAAGCAGTCTCTAGCACCCAAGAAAACACCTACACAAGGGCAGATTCAATGACCCCCATTTATAGGTTATGCAATGAGGAGCAGAATACTCCCCACATAACTTCAAATGCAAAGCAACTGCTCAATGGAGACATAACCTGGGCTACAAAGAAAGCCTTAGGAAAGGAATTGCAGCAACGACACTCAATGATCTAATACTTCTTAAAAGAAGGCGGCAGTGTTTGGGGAACATAAAATAAGCAATCAAGCTCTAATTAAAGCATTAGCATGAGAAAAAAAATCATATCAAAAATAGTAAGTGAATGCATCCAAAATCTCCAAAACCTGGGGAAATGCAATAAGCTGATATCTTGAGTGCCAGGACATAAAGGGCATGGGTAAAGAAATGGGATACAAACTGGCCAGAGGAGGATCTCCAAGACCAAATGTAGGCCCTGAACTTAGGATAACAAGACGAAACTGACTTCTCCGTCTCAGATGGTTCCAGAAAATACAAAAGAAGTGTATGAATTCCAGAAGTTACTAACAGTAAACTGAAAATTGAATGGCTAAAGAAAGAACTTTATTTACAAGAAAATACAATATAATAATAAATAAAAAGTTCTTAATACAGCATTAATTGTAAACTGTCTGCTGGAAGTGGTCGGGGAATTCACTTGAAAGCAAGGATATATACATACAAAAAATCAATATAAAACTAAGACAAATAAAACAAAAGAAAAAAAGTAAGAGAAAAAGGAAATCCTGGTAGTGCGCACTACATAGAATGAAAATAGGGCTCCTCAATGTAAAACTAAAATTAAAATAAATTAATAATTAAATTGTTCCCGAGCAGTATCCAAATGCAACCTTAGTAAAACCAATCAGGTCTGTACAATTTGGAGAGGAGGTTTTCGATGAGAAAGGTCTTCTCGAAACTGTTAGTACCCAAAAAGAGAATCCAGAACTCAGCGAGGATGGGACACTCAATACTCAGGCAATAGAAAGAGTTTGTTAAGGTGATCAAACAAGCAGAATCGAAATGGCTATTCTCTAACTCAAGGAAGGGAATTAGGAGGCTGACAGGTATCCTGGCGGGCCACTGCCCACTGAGAAGACACCTCTCCGTAATGGGTATTCTACCAGATCCCTTTTGCCGTTTTTGCGAAATAAAAGAAGAAACATCAAGTGCAGAGTGTGATAGGTATGCTAGGTCTAGATTTGAAATCTTTGAAGGAGAGGTCATCACTAAATTAAATGGTCCAAAACCTTGGGGTTTGTGAATAGGTCCAAGAGATTTATGCAGGAGGACACGTGAGCCGACCAAGTCCTGGACCTTTTAGGGATGGGGTCTACCCAGGCATTTAACCCCTCAGGTCTTGGTCGCCCACCCTGCATAATACATATGGAACACTCAATCAGAAAATGAAAAAGGTCTTCCCTTGCGAACAAGTTGCAAACTGAAGAGCGATTTACAGAATCATCTCTCAATGAGAGGAAATTAAATTAGATCAGCTAGCACCTAAGCTTGAAGAACACCATATAGTACTTGTGGACATTAGGTTTTTATTGTTTAAGTTAAAAAAAGGGCTTTTGTACGGTTGCGTTCCTTGAATAGCAGAAATTACAGAGCCACTTCTGAACAACCTTCAACACATCTGGAAAACAAAAAATGGAAAATGTTTAAAAAACTGGGAATTTTGAAAACCCTTCTTCATGGTCACTTACAGTAAAAACAAAGTCCAGATTACAATCATGGGCACGAGAATTAAGCATTTTGAACGAGGACAAGTTGGCATTAATCACTTCGACCACAGTAATTTTAGGTAGTCTGTGATCAGGTCCTTCCTAAATAGGAGAAGTGAAGCTTTAGGGTATACAAAAAGAGAGGGTCTGTTGATGTTTCCAAGTAGAGCATGTACTTTGGAGTAAAAGTTGTGAGGTGAAACACTTTTCTATTAAAGAGAATCTAATAAAGAAATGTTGAAAGGATTTAATTAAATCAAAACGTTGTTATCCCCAACCCCAAAGCACGCCACTGACCGGCATATTGCCTTAAATACCATAAACTATAAATTTGGTAGGAATAGAAGGGTTTGAGAGCAGGCTGGACCAAACTGAATTAATCGTAAATTTATACATGTGAACATTATTTTTAAGATCAGGAGTCAAAGAGAGTTTTGGTGTGAAGATGAACCCCACATTAATACTCCTTCACAACTTCAATTCGTTTACCCTGGAAGGACCAGTGATCCCTACATGCCAGCCTTCCTCCCCTACAAAAAACCATGTTTCTTTTTATTTACATAAATTGACAGAAAGGTTCCATTGACAGCAATAATTTTCCAATGCAACAATGTTACTCTGTAAAGCAGCAGAACTAGCCAGGATGGCTACATTATCGGCAAAGAGAAGATATTTAATTAATAAATTAGAGCAGAGAATACCAAAACTCACGATTAAAGAATCCTCACCACAACGGGCCACAGTTAGACAGGGTAGAACTGTAGTTGACCTCAGTTGTAGGTTATGCTGTTAGGAGGAAGAAACTGCCACTCATATCTTAGAATGTGAAGTTACAACTCTATGGAGATATAACCCAGAGTACTACTTTGAGTGAATAGAAATACTTTGATTGAATACAAAAATATTTTTTTTTAATTCACTTTTTTCCTTGAATTCCTTCCTACATGTATTAGAATCATAATGAATTGTTAAATTAAAACAATGTTTGTAAATCCCAGGCCCTCAAGATGGTCTCAATAAAGATCGAAACGTTGGCACGATAAAGAAAATGTTTTTCTGAAACCTACATCACACCAGACAGCATCTCACAATTTCTGAATAATCACTAGAGTACTATGATGACTTAAGGAAGAGATAGGGCTATGTATGGGTCACTGGTATCTGAGAAAACATCTACATAACACAGGTTTATTCAATGATGACCCCATTTATAGGTTATGCAATGAGGAGTTAACAGCCACCCATATCATCTTCGAATACACACAACCTGGGTTGCAAAGAAAACCAGGGAAATAGAAATGATGAATGATAGAGTGAGTGCGGTGTTCAATCCTTTTTTAAAAAAGATAGTTCCTACTCACAGTAAGTTGCTTTCCAACGATCCGGATTCCGAGCCCCTTAGCTCATCATCAGGTTGAAGGAGTTCTACAATCACATCTCTCGACTAAGGACTCTAAACTACGGAATTAAGAAAAGTACATTAAACCAGAAGGCTGCAGTATTTGGAAAACATCAACTCCCACTTCCTAGTCTCCATATTCATCATCATTTTATAATTGTTAAAGTAATTCAATAAATACCAACCAAAATTACCCAATACCCATAAGACATTTCGACAACCGAGAAAAATAATTTAATAGAAAAAGCATGGGATTGATCATTGTTTACAATATTAGAAAATTTATTTCTTGCAGATTGTTCTCTCATAATTTATCTTTGGGAACAGTCCGCAGAAATTTCTTGCAATTGGCAGTTATGCTTGACCGACATGATAAACATTTCATTGAAGGTACTGCATGAGTCAAAACCTGGAAAAGACAACACGATAAACGAACGATTCATTGAACTGCTGTATGTGTCATAAGCCTGGAAAAACCAAAGCAATAAATATTTTGGTCAAAACCATTATGTACGTCATTGGCCTTAGTGTTGTGAAAGGGTAAAAATAATAATAAAAACATTATAATTTATATATAAACTATGTATGGACAAACAATTAGATATAAAATAAATTTAAAAAATGTTTTATTCAACATAAACAAAACTAAATGTTTCATTTGAAAACGTCTACAGAAAATCCTTGTCCATGCACAGAAAACGAAATTGGGTATTTCAGTCTATATCTTACATGCATTATTATTATTATAAATAAAGACTCAATTCTGAAAATGTTTTTTGTGTTTTTATTTTATCTTGTAGTTTTATAGAAAAAATTCACATTAAAATCTTCATTCACAATATAGTATCGAATAATTAACTTTACAATGCTTACAGTCATTTTTTTTTTTTTTTTGTCAAACATATCGTACTAAAAACAAAATTTATACACAAATATGTACATATTATATGCATATAAATATATATACTATTTAATCTAGTTTTCATGGAAAACATTGATTTGTAAAAGTCGGAGAGTACAACGTACTGACAGAAATATCACTAAAGTAAATAGTTCTTCAACATCAGTACCAGTCAGCGAGTTTTTCGTATGCACATTTTAATAAATGCATTAAAATGATATACCATAGTATAATTTAGTCGAGAAATTTAATTTTTTTTCTTACAAAAATTTAATATATAATATACAAAGGATACAGAAGTTTCAGTCATTTGAAATTAAACTGACTAACTATTTAACCATATATTTCGTGCAGTGCAATCACAACTTTTCTATACTGTTGTTTATTTATTTTTTTTTTTTTACAATAATTCTGATGAAGAGTTTCAAAAGTTAATGAAAACATGAAATAACATATAATTTTAAATTGAAATTTGTATCCTTGCCCATATTCTGTACAAATTTATACACATAACTTAAGGCACCATTGCTATTGCTATAAAAAACAGTAATTTGTACCAAATCTATAATTTTTTACTATTAATTTTTAACATTTGTAATATTGTTTTTAAATGTAAACATTTAAAGTCGTGTGAGATGTTTGTACTCTATCCACTATCCGTCCTTAGTAACTTAAAAAGTAACCAAATCAAATATGGTTTTTTTTTTTCTTCTGTTTCGTTCGTTTATATTTAACTAATTTCTAAACATTATAAATAAATAATAAATACACAAATAAAAGGATATACATTATTCAGATGACGGAAATGTGTAATAATCAATTTGTTTCAAAATAATGTATGCACAATTGAATAAAATATAGAATTGTTAACCAATAGTAAAAATACTAACATACCTTAAGCCAATTTGTCATTAATTCAATTTGCTGAACATAGTTAATAGAAATATTTATTAATTAATTATTAAAAAAAATAATTAAATGAGTTATCACAAGATGAGCTCTTAATTATGTCAATGATTATTTTAAATTAAAACATGCGCTTAAAAAAAAAAAGGAAAATGTGCAATCTATCTAATAAAAGGATTTTTAAGTATGATTTATCCCAATCCTTAACCTATATCAACATTGAGACAAGTATTTTGTACTCGAATCAGTTACCCTTTAAAAAGTTTTATCACCTCCAATATGGGGTTACTTAGTAACAAATTTTCTTCAATAATGCACAATTACAATTAAAAAAACCTAATAACAATAAAATAACTTCACTTTTTTTTATATTAAAAAAAGTTTGAAATCTATCCAGTGTATTCAGTAACTCGCCATTCTTCAATTTTATTCCCTTAACATTGCCATTTGTTTAATTTAATATGGTATATCATCTTAATAAAATCCAAACCACATTAGCATTTTTAAACAAGTTTACAAAATTACTCGACAATAATATGAATTTGTATTTACAATAGCTGGAAAAGGCAGGAAGGTGAATTTGGTAAAGGTTCTGTTTATCACTTTTGTACCGCCTTAATATTGCAATACATTCTCACCTAAGCATCACCTTCGTTAGCTGTAAAAATAAAAAAATAATACACTGAAATAAGAATAACTGAGAATGTATTCAGATATAGCTGCAATCGAAATTCCTACTGCCAAGTGGAAATCCGATGAAATTCGATACTTCAAGACCTTCGTTTTTTAATCAGGTGTTAATGGATGTGTTTTATTCTTTGTATTTTGTTGCTTGTCCTCTTTTATCATACCAAAATATGGGTATCTTAAAGAGTCAAGTTTATAATTTAATTTTTAAAAATTATCGTATTTGGCAGTACAAAATTACAGTTACTTTTGATAAAATATAATTGGCAATCTGGAAGTACAACCAAGCACTTAATCAGTTCTCAGTCTTAAGGAGTAAAGACAAAAGGATGTTCAATGACTTTTTTTAAATGTCTAAGAGTCAATATTTAAAATTGACTGGGACAAACTGATAAATGTGTCAAACAAGGAAATTTCAAACAAAATGAACATTTTAAGAGTATAACAGAACTCTCCGTTATTTTAAACCGTCATCTAATTCGGTTGACTCTTGTCAGGTGAATATATAACCTTAGTATCTAGCCATCCAAAACCAAAACATTTAATTCAAAAATCGGCTAACATTAACATTTTTCATATAATAAACATTAAATGCTTCGCCTACCACAATGATGCTAAGATGGCCTGAGGCCTCTATGAAGCAAATGGTTAACATTTATTTTACTTTTTTTTACTTCTACATTTGTATTGCGAAAAATGTTGTTACAGGCAAACTGAATAATTGATTTCAGAACTGAAAAATAAAAGTTATCTTGCATTTAAGTAGACAGGGATTGGAAATCTGTTATATATTATGCATTACTTTAGATAATAAAGGTTTCACAAAATAAAACTGATATTGTTATACGAAATTAAAAACAAACAATTCAGTTCTCTGTGAAAAAAAAAAAATTACTCGTGTATTAACATTAAATTTCCAATAATTACAAACGTAACTTTTTATTTTGCACCTTGTTAAAACATGGTGTTACTTATCCATTTAATAAGAAATAAAAATTTTTCAAGCATAAATTGAAGCCAACGAATTATGAAATACTTCATTTCCAAAGAAATGTGCTAACGTTTTTTAATAAGAAGCAGTCTAAAAAAAATTATCTAATATTAAAATTAAATAAAAAAACAAGACAATCATTTTTAATTTTAAAAATATATAGCCTCATTTCTATTTTTCAATAATTTTAAAAGAATGCAATTTTCGGTGCAACTGAACTAGTTTATACTGTCATTGACACAAAGGAAACCCAATTCATTCAGTTTGAAAATTGAAAAAAAAAAAACTAATTTAATGTGATATGATTAAAATTCTCAATGATCTATTTCAAAATAAAGAGATTTGGCTATATTAAAATTAATGACATTATATATTGTATTATATTAAAAGTATCAACAAACTAAAAATATTAAGCTTGCGACTATGTATTATGACTTTATGTACGATTTTATTTACCTACGAGATTCATACAAATAAAAAAAGATCAATCTTTTGAACTGAAATGTGGCACAAACACTATGTGTCGCGTAATTTTTTGTTTGTTTGCAAAATAAGTTTTTATTTGAATAAAAGTTGAATATGTTTAATTAATCAATTACGATATGGATGGTTAAATTATTAAGCCTATACATACCTGCAACTAGAGCATATTGCAAAGTTGCCCATTTACATTGGCCCTATTTAATAAATATCTAAGGATTTCAATGAGTATCCTTAATCTTTACAAATGTAAATGTCTGAAGAGTTGGCACATTTTATAAATGATGGTGATGCAGCAATATTTGTGATATTAGGATGTACATTTGTGAACTGCCTCGGCTTTTGTGGCTATTCTTTTTTTTTAATAGTTTTTTAAGTTTTTTTGTTAAATTATTATTGGCGGTATTTGCCTGAAAATGTGGAGTGAACATTTGTAGGCTTAGTTTGTTGTACAATTCAATACTGTACTGCGCTATTTCTTGTCACTGTAGTCTCTGTACAACGGATGGTGTAACTAAACCTGTATCCATAAACTAATGGAGCAAGTTTGCAAATAATTTGGTAAAAACAGGTCTCAATCTAGGCTCCACACATTTTTAAGTGTCATTTTCCTAGCTACAATTTTCTGGTGATGCTGATTAATATGATTTATCGTTTGGTTTTGTGCAAAACTTGATTTATTCAACAACGTTAATATTGTACTATTTGTATTGTTAATTGTTGGTGTTAACTCTGTCGAGTTGACTTCAACATTCACAGTTCCATTGGATGTAGCAGTTGCTGCTGCTGCTGCTGCGGCGGCGGCGGCGGCTGCGGCTGCGGCTGCTGAAATAACCAAAGGCCATAATTTAAATAAAAAAATTTTGTAATACATATTTCTAAGACAAACAGCGATAAATTTTTCACTTTAGTCTGGGTTTCCCAAGTCTCACATACTTAGTATTTCACTTTTACTCACTTCAATTATATTAATTTTTTTTTTTTTTTTACTGTCAAATGCATGGGCATATTTGATATTACCGCATCGAAATCCGAGTCAAACTGAAGAAGTACATAAACATATTTACAAAGAAGCATAATCAAAATCTAGGAATTTGAGACAAAGAAATTTAGTTGAAAAAGCTGTTTGCATTTGTTACTGGGAGTGTCTGCTTTGTAGAATATTTTAATGTGAAGAAAGTAATGGGGCATGTAAGAGAATCAGAATATGTCCGTTTAAGGGAAGTTTCACTGTACATAACACAGATATATCTGTATGGTGTTGGTACATACCTGCTACTTGTTGCTGATATTGTTGACCAGAGTTTCTAAAATGGTTCGCTAAAGCTGTGATTTCAGGATTCACAGTAGTTACTTTATTCACCTAAAAATGGTATGGATTATTATTATTAATTGTTATATCTTCTCACTAACAAATTTGCTTAAAAAGTTTCATAATTTTACTAATATATCTAACAATTTGTTGTTGTAGAGATCAACATGAAATTAGAAATGTAAGACCTTTTTAACAGGAAAATGCCGAATCTCATTTGAAACATCAAAAACCCATGAGGGTAGATGGACCCAGTGCCAGTTCAAAATATCAGGCTAAGTTCACACAGAACGGAATTCTAATTTTTAATTTAATTTTTGTGTGTTCATATGTATGTGTCGATAGGTGACCTGTAGGACCTGACTCATAGAAGGATCATCCTCACCCTTCCTTTTAAAAACAGGCTATGTAAGAGACATGGACACTTAATTTGGCCGAAGCCCGCATGTGTCCGGAATAGAGAGAAAGGTTGCTCGATGTGTCCCATCCAAGTAAAGAGTGCAATTCCCTGGCTTCATATTCTCAAGGGAGTTTATTGTAAATTAATAGCTGGAATTGCCGCTAAGTGATAGGCTCTACTCTGTACACATATCTATGTACATGCATGTGCAGATTTGAGCATACATAAATCAGTAGTCAGTAATGGTTGTCTCTTGGGAAAATAATAGGAAAAAATGACCCTGAGTGGACAGTGGCAAGTGTAGCGACCATCGTACATAATAAATAATTTCAAAATGTATCAAACTGTCTATTAAACCCCAAATGGAAGGTTTATGCAGAAAAAAGTACAAAAAAAAAATTTGTAGGTAATTATACAAAGGGTTAAAAACATAACCTCATTTAACTTTTTTCTTAACACATTCTGTATATATATTCTGTAACAGTTCTGCATGAAGCCCTCACTGGTCCAACCCTGACCTATAAAAGTCTTAGGTTTGTTTCTAAGAAAAAAAATTTTTGCGGTCCGGGAGGGAGAAAATTGAAATACCAGGCCGCACTGAACAAATGTAGAACATATTCTTATGAAATACATGTATTACATATGTATATTAACAACTTATAAAAAGTGATTGAGAGATAACAATGAAATTACCTGTGAAATTTGAGACTGTTTATACAATCCTATATTATTTGCCTCATAATGTTGTTTATGCTCACGCGTTACAGGAATACTCTTATTATTTACTTGTTGACCTAAAAAAATTAGTACTTTGAAACCTTATAATAAAAAATTTGTAATCAAATTTAAAATAAATCTGTCATTCACATCTATTGTAACATAACAAACATGCATAACGTATATTTACAAGATATGTTATCACTGAAGTCCCCATTAAGTATTGCCTCCATTAAACACGGTCCTACAAGTTGAGTAGAGTTATTACTAAATTCAGTAACCCTTAAAGATTCGGCCTCGACTGGTTTCTCAGTCGGCTTTATCTGAGGTTTAATAAGACGTTCCAAATCATTTACAATTTGAGTTTTCAACTCTCCTGGATCAGAATCCTGATAACAAGAAAACATATTATTTTAAATTGTCAAAATGTAATTGGTTATTATTTTATTTGAATACTCGCTTTCTGAATCGCAGTGCTAGTGCTTGGAACTGGACATGTCCTACTATGGCGAAACACATCATTATTTTGCACTTTCATTCTTTTCTTACAAATATAATCAAAAAGACTATGAGATTTATCAAAAAATTCACATTTTCTTTTTCTTGCAACTTTCACCTAAAAATTTCGACAATAAAGGTTAGCATTTTATACTCACATGAAATAATGTGAAATCAGATTTAATGTGTTGACAGCCTGTAACACCTTGTACTGAATTGTTTTAAATATTTTAAAATTACCGCGGTCAAATCGACACCCACAATAGGAAATAAGGAGCAGATGTTGACTAAATGTCAACAACCGCAACCAACATGTTAAAAAGTACCAAAAAAGAAATCACGTTATTAGCAAAGTATAAAAGTATCAGTTTATAATTTATTAAAATCATTTATATAAAATGGAACTTTAATCAACGGCTGATTCGAATGAGCGGAAAACTATTTCTTTTATTTTTTAGACGACACAACAATTTGATATACCTCAGTTGCACGTTCGACCACTGCATTTAGATCTTCTGTGTTAAATACATTTTGTTCATTAAATGCTCTGATCCTTCTAAATCCAACTTTTGGATTAGGATCTAGACATATAGGAGGTTGTAATGAATTAACAAGAGCTCGTTCGGCTGCTATTCTCTCTTCTTTAGTCCAATTTACACCATCATCCAATATAAGACACATAACATCATTAACCACACTCTAAAATTGAAAAGAAAAAATATATTTGGTGTAATTGGCTACTTATTATCTTTGTAGAGACTTATATTTAGGTATTACATAAATTCCAATTAAATAGGGAAAAAATACTTAAAAAATCCACAAAAGCTGGAAGTATTTTAAGAAATTATGGAAAGCATAAATGTTTACTTACCTCTGTATGTGGTTTCAATAATAAGTGATACACATAAGGTTTATTATTTGTCATCCTATAATCTTTAATCTCAACAATAACACAGCCATTGTAAAAAAGATCTGGAAACATTTGCTCCCAATCATCCGCCACTGTAGGTGGCAGCTCTTCTTTATTAATATATTCAAAAAATCCATCTTGAATATATTCCTGCCTAGATTCCTATAACAAATTTACATTTATTATAATTGACATCATCAAATTCAACATTAACACTTTTTTTAAAATCTATAGTTTGGTTGTTTTTGATGAAGCTGTAAACCAGTCCCCGGTCATAGTATAAGTTAGGAATATTTAGAAATGGTTGTAAAGAATTTTAAACATATGTTTCCTATGGGTCCATAAATCTGACAGGTCGCCCACTCAGTAGGGAGCGAAGAAACGTTTCCCAATAACCTGGAAGGCATAGAAACAAAACAGGCGAATAGTTCCAAATAAATAACAAAAGTGTTATTTAGTATGGGGGTGGGCTTGTACCCTCTTTGTGGGAGGTCCATAGATAAGGTCCCAGGGGGCTATGTAATGGAAACTCCTGAAAATTACTAGTTGTTTTGCGGCCGAACAGGACATGACCAACCCTTGTAAGGTAGTTGACAATCTGCCGTTTCAGGTTTGCTTTTCCTTTCCTCCTCCAACAATGTTGGAAAACATATTACAAAAGAGGAGGATTTGAAAAACAGTCAGTCAAAGTCAACGAGAGGACGCAGCCAAGACATGATATTGACTGTACCAGGCCAACAGTCGACTGTTGAGTGTCTTGGAAGCAGTGGAAAGGGCAGACTCATTCAGCCAGAGGGAACGAGAGAACCTAGCCATTGCAACAAGTTGATTAGTCGACTGTCGAAGATCCAGTAAGCTGTGGAAAGAAGATCCTGGAAGACGCTTAAGGATGTGGAAGCTATTAGTGAGCATCGGGGTAAATTCTCTTGTAAATATGAGTTAAAATTGAGGCTGACTTGTTTGTTCGACTTATTGTTTGTTTATTACAATATTAAGATGGTCCAGTGTAAAAATAAATGTATATGAATATTATCCCTCAGGTTTGTTGGATTTTTGCACCTTACCTTCCATCCACACAAAAAGTAAAAGTGCGTACTCTAAACTTTCTCGTAAGGCATAGCGATAAGTGTATAGAGCATCAGCACCCGCTTACAAAGCATACACTGCTGAAAATAGGCCAGAATGATTAGAAACGACTTTACTACAGTTTCAACAAGACTTTTCTAAATACTTATTATATTCTAACATGAATATATGCAATAAAAAGTAAAACAAAGGAAGAGGTTATAAATTTTAATAAAACACCCATCACATGATGGTTTTTTGACATGGCTCCATTTATTGTTACTGGTATCATGCTAGTCTAAAGACACATTGATTGTGAAGTGTCAGATAGTAAAATGTTGCCTGAGTCTTAATTATTTGAAATGCATAGGGTCTCACACGTGTGAGTGCTCTATAGTCAATGTCTTATCTAACATTTATAATTTTTTAAATTAAAATGGTACAAATAATTGAATGTTAAGGTAAATATGTTACTATATGACTATTTACCTGGACAACTGTTCCATTTGAAGTGCACAAGGAGACACTGTATCCCTGTGGTAACGGGTAGAGACTAATCACTACCATGTTTAGTTTGAATCTTTCTACAAAATTGTCCAATAGTTCTATTCTTGGTCGCACGTGCTTTAAAAAAGAAAATAAAATAAATTTATAAATCATGAATATAGTTCAACAACAGGACATTTCATTTAGATATATTATTGTGTAATGTAGTATTATTCATGCAGTATCGTTCATTATAAATAGTATTATACATGTTAAATTTATGCTTGTGTAAAAAACAATGAATGAAAAAGTAAAATGCAAACATCCTACTTACAAGTGGGTAACGATATATATCTGGAACTCGTGCAGCTCCACGGATTTCTTTAAATAAGTCCTTTAGCAATTCAAATACAGAAACAATTTTGTCAGCTTTTGATGAGCTATTACATACTATTTCACCGTCTTTGCCCTCCCCCTGTTTGGCTGTCACCTCAGCAAGATTGAAATGGACATTCTAAAAAAAAAAAAAATTTTTTTTTAATGTAACTCATTAGTACATATTGCAATTGTGATCATAATGTTTTTTCACATGGTCACAGCACTAACACTGTGCCATGTGCTGCACCCAGAGGACATATGCCATAAGACACTAGCCAACGCTGGCACTCAGTGTGAGGGTTTAAGGGGCAATAAGGTCTTGAGGCTATTGTCGAATAAGGCGACCTTATGGGGAGGAGAAGGTTCAAACAATAGGATTAGGATGGATAGGATTCAAGTTAGAGGATAAAATTGCAGTTTTGTTCATGAAGATGTATTCTAGTTTTATTTTTTTCTAATAATTAGTCCTTATACAATATTATACAATATATCCATTGATTGTTTAAGGGACCATTCAAATAAAAGTCCATTCTTTACGTTAATTTGATACTGTTAAATTCCGCTTGACAGAAGTGTTACATTCCTAAAATCATGCTTTTTTTACTGACTAATACTATGTTATTCAGATTTCCTCGTTTGTCCAAGGTTGCATGTCGAATTTAATTCGATGATGCCTTGTTCTCCCATGAATTCTTCATAATAGCAAATTCTTATTATGTGGGGTCGTGCAAGTTATTTTCAAATCGTCATATAGGGTAAATGGACGAGTTAGTATTGCGCAACAGTACACTTACATTACGCTCATCATTTGCCAGTTGGAGGCTTTGCATGGTAAAGTTGACGAGTCATCAAGTTTTTAGCCTAAAACATAATTTTGAATTAATACATGACACAAATATTATAATAGACGTACATGTCTTTGGGTTTGGTCTGCCGGGCAGCATGGAGAAATGATGAAACGCGTCTGGAGGCCCAACCAAACATTTCACAATAACCAATTACAACCAATCAATAATAACTTAATTTCAAGTCCATCATTATGCATATGACTCGTAGAAATATCAAAAACAAATATGTTAAGTAACGGTATCCAAACATTTTAAATATGACCGAATTCTTCAGAGACATTAACAGAACATTTAAATGCAAAATTAAATTAATCGTAGAGAAGCAGCATAAAAATTAAATGTGTAGTGGGATAAAAGACTGAAAATAGTACAAAATTCAAACTTACATAAAGATGAAAGAGATGGGATATTTTACGCGAGATCAACATCATACAGCAATATATGTTCCACTTGCATTTTTCTTGAGAATATACCGAATTCATTTAAACTGGAGAATAGCACTTTACAGTACTAAGGATCATCGCAATCCCAAACTTAGCATAAAGATCCTGAAACAAAAATACATCAATGATTATTGACAGCTAGTAAAAAGATTGACCATTTTTTCAATGTAATTATGATTGTGTGTATAAATGGAAAACAAAATGATGTAGATTAAGTTATAGCTGGGTTCTTTCTGATCATTTTGGCCTACCTTACTTTTAACAGCTTTAGCCATATTCAATGTTGGTTTTTAGTGTTGCTTTTTGCATGTTTAAACTGCAACAGGCCAAAAAGTAAGTACAGGCAGACCACAATCACAGGGCACAATGACAGGAAACAATCAACCTTTCATCACATTCAAGAAGACAATATTCAAGACTAAGGAAAGTAATGCAAACAAAAATTTACTGTTTTGTCAAAGAACCTTTGTTATTGCTTTTCCTCTATCTTAGCACACCCTAATATGTTAACCTTTCAGTTCTTGGACTTGAATGATATCATTCATTGCCTAGTCATGAAAAACTCAGAAGAAAAAAAAAAAGAGATAAGGTATTTTGCAATCCCAAAAGCAAGCAAAATTGTATGTTGATAATAATAATATAAACATCCCATGGTAAATTAATTAATAGTACCGACAATACAATGTTTTATCAAGATAAAACTGTATGTTTAATATTCTTTCTTCAAAAAAATTTCATCTCATAGATATTTCAACTGTAAGGCTTAGTACACATGTATTGTTTTCTAATATGTGTTTATGAATGCATTTAGTGAAAGTTCAAAGTAGAGCATACACATAGTAACGCACGATTAAGCCCAACACGCATATGAACAAGTGATTTGAAATTCTCCTCATTACGCGTGTATCAGCCCGAGTTGAGATACAAGATAACTGATCCGTCTGTTCAGATCAACGCGCGTTTTACCAGAGAATATATATATATATATTTTATAATCATGACGGAAATGTAACTTTTTGACACCGATCTCCTGATCGACGAAATTGAAAAAAAAGACCTGCATTGTGGTACGTGGAGTACTTCCATCATAAAATTACTCTTTTATCCAAGAGATCCATGTGTTCACCACAAGCGCCTGTTTACACGCAGTCAATCGTGTGATTCAACCCCAATTCCCCATGTGTACTAAGCCTAATAGTTAGCTGGAAATTTCTGTACACATTTGAACTTTTAGTAGATTTAATAAGAGAATATTATTCACAGTAAACAACGATCCTGACGAACTTAAATGCAAGTGAAATTGTATATAATTTTTTAAAACTTTAATATGATGAGTTAAAGTAACCAGAAATAGCGTTTAAAAATTTGTATGGTGTTTAGTGAACATTAGTTAATTATTATTTGGAGTTTGTGAGATGCGGTCTGGTGTCTCCAAATAATCATTAAAAATTTGTTTTAACACTCTTACACCCCGACCAATACATCTACATCTAACACTCTAATACGGTTAAGGGTGACATGTCCCAACCTCCAGACCAAACCAAACCATCGACCCTCTGACACTAAAAATGCAATAAAGAACATGAATAAAAGGAAATGGCAATGTTGGTGGGCCAGATCGAGAATGAAACTTTTAAGTATAAGGAGCATGGTAGATAGGTGACCCTTGGAAGATCTGAATGAAAGAAGAGTGATCATATTCACCCGACTAATAGGCTATATAAGGTTGGCACACGGACACTTATTTTTGGGCCAAAGCCCTCATAGGTTGAACAGCATGGTGAAAAGATTGCTCAATGTGTCTCACTTAATCGAAGAGTGTCCTTGCCTCTATAAGAAAGCAAGTCACCTGATATGAGAATTGTGCTACATTTTGACATATTGAGTAAGATAATGTATTTATTAGACAGAATGTGTAGTGCGCGTGGGCTGATGATGGCATATTGAATACCCCGTAGACCCTAAATTAGATTAATTATATATGTCTAAAGGGAGAGAAATATCAAGTACTGCATCATACTACTTGAGCGATGGTCCTATGGTAAATGGGGAAGAATTAATTTATGAGTGAGTGTGACTAGGTTTACAAACTGCATGAACTGGGGATTGGAATGTTGTTGAGCTGGTTATGGAGTCCAACTTCAGCAGTGGGATAGATAAGACCAAGGGTGACCCCTCAAAAACTCGAGTTTAAATAAATCAATTCATTCCTAAAGACAAAAGGAAGAAAAAAGAAAAAGAATAAAATTATGTAGCATTTGAAAATTGTTTTTAATGTTTTTGTTCTGGCCAATTGACATAAAAATGACTTAATTTGATTTATGTCAAGGACAAGTAACAACAGTACCAGTCATACTCCTCAAAAGTGACTATTGCATTCTTCCTGACTACGTAACATTTTATGTTTCTATCTCTATCATGCAATACACAAAAAATTTGTTACCAACTACCAACTGAATCAGGGATGTTGGGTGGAAACCCTGCTTTGGATGTACACCATGATGGTAAGACCTATTCTTGCATATAGAGCCATAGCCTAGGTCGATAAAGTAAAACAGATAAAACGAAAATACTCACTAAAAATACAGAGACTTGCAAGCATCATTATAATGGGAGCGATGACAACATTTCCCACCAGTTGATATGAAAAGGATACTGGGATTAATTCCCCTACACCACATGATAATGAGGACAGCACAGACAATGTTAGTATTATTAAAGAGAAACCATCAAAAGGAATAAAACTAAAATGGAGAGATAGCAACAAAATAATGCATGACCATCCAATACTCAAGGCTTCAAGAGACAACATGAACAGGATGTTTGAATTTAATCAAAACTTTCAAATAAACTTAGGTACCAAAAGAGAATGGGAACAAGAGGAAAACACCTCCTTGAAGAACGGCACTATCTATTGGTACACAGATGGATCTAGAACACAAGAAGGTACAGGAGCAGGAGTATTTGGACCTGGACTCAGAACCCATGGGAAAATACACCAGCATCTTCCAAGCTGAGGTCTATGCAATCGAGAGATGTACTTAATTCAAGTTGAATAAAGAGTACAAAAACAAGACTAATGCATCTACATCTGTACCAACTGAATCATAGAGGGAGGGGATTAAATCAAGTAACTTTTGTAGTTTTTACTATAATTATATTTGTTTCCAGTTGCATAGTTTGCCGTTTTACTCCTCCCCTATTGGTGAAAAGTCCCACACGTCTCAGGTCAAGATATACTGGATCAGTATAAAATAATAGTTCATAAGCGCATATAGGAAAACCCTGTACATTTGCCACTATTTTCAAAATCTTTACAAAAATATTCTGAACATAGGAGGAATGTAAGTCCCTGCACATGTGGTCATGTGAAAGTGCCGAGTGTTCAGTGATAAACAATTAAAATTTCAACTGGATCGCTCACAGTTCCACCCAAAAATGTTAAGTTTCCCCCTAGAGGGGAAATTACTAACAAACACCTGCTGAATGGGCGGTGATGACAGGTCGCAGCTTCAATCTATTGAAAATGGCCAGGCAGACTGCGTTATTTGATTAATTCAACATTTAAAATAATCCACAACAAAGTTGACACATTCAGGAGTGATGTTCTTCCAAAAGATAACAACCAATCCAATTTTAATTTATACACACATCAACCATGGCACTTTTTTTTTAATTTTAACAAACTAAAACAACACTAAAAAAAGAATCAAAACAGTTATTCAAAGTTTCACCATCAAACAAAACAATGTTTTAAGGCTGTTTTTCAAAATAATAAGTATAAACAGAACCTGGTTGACCTAAATAAACTGATTATGTGTACAAATGATTTATGATAATTTAGTAAATAGGAAATACATTTCTAAACAGGTGAAGATCAAAATAAACCGTAAATTTTCATTTTAGTCACAGAACAATGCCACTTGTGCCAAGCAATATTGAATGAAACTATTATTAACACACTAACAAATCGACAGAAGTATTTATTATTAAATTGATGGAACATTTATCATTAAACATATTTTACTTAAATTATCTCTGATCAAAGTGTCCATAAATCACTTGAGGTGAGCGGTGTCGCCACAAGAGAAGTATGCTGTTATCATAGCAACAGATCAGCACCCCTGCACATTATCATCATCGATTTATATAATTATTTAATTTCAGTTAAAGTATCTCAGATCAATGTGTCCATAAATCACTTGAGGAGAGCGGTATCGCCACAAGAGAAGTATGCTGTTATCATAGCAACAGATCAGCACCCCTGCACATTATCATCATCGATTTATATATATCGAAGTGAACATAAAAACACATCTGAAAGGACAAAGGATTTGGTTCAAATTTAGACATGATATGTTGTATTATTTATCTTTTCTATATGAGTTAATAGTGAAATTAGAAACCCGGTGAAGGTTTATAATTAAATTATTATCAATTACATGACATTATTTTTCTATTAGGGGAAAATAGTAGCTTAAAAACCCCAGTTATTATGGTTGTAAAACAGCATTTTTTATTCTCCTTTACATGTGCCTGTCATCCAAACAATAATTACCAATTTAGCCACAGATTGTACTAGTACTAATTTCTTACTACTATCTACTTACTACCTTAAACTTGGTTTATTCTATGATGTTTAATATTTTGAATTCTATTAGGTCTAACCTGTCTGTTCCAAAGAGGCCGCATTGCATTTGCCGGTAATCCGAGGCAATACAATACAAATACGAGATTTGGTGTGCTTTCAACGACAGTTTTAAGAAGTGAAGTAAATAAAAATGTACATCCGTGGTGAATTTTGTGACAATGCACCACTAGCTTGAATGGAATATCAAGTCATTTGTATCTAACACAACATCATAACAACAATATTTGCTTGCTGCCTTGATTTGGCCACCACCGAAAAAAGATATGACACACTGGTTTTCGCTTACTCTTTGCTTGAAGTGACTTCCTCTACGAACAAATTTCACATCCCAACTATATTCTAAGCTGTTAATCACTCTAATGGACCTATGGTGAGGAGCTAGCCACCAATTCAATTTTAGCTGCTAAGCTGTGTAAACAAACTATTGTAACATTGTGAGATTTTTTCCTGTGGTTGGGATGATTAACTGCAATTTGGACATTTTGGTCTGCCTATCACAGAAATCACACAGACATGATGAAGATGGTGAAATGACGAAACATGTCTGACAGACCAAACCAGAATGTAGGTCGACTAAACGATTGATAACAACCAAATTACACCCAACTATTGCGTTACTCATTACTGATGCAAATTTAAATACAGAATTAATTTAGCATTTACAAAGAAATTTGTTTAGATACAATTAGAAAATTGTAACAGATATAATTTAAACAAGTGTTGCATTGTTTTTTTATTGATTAAATCTCTCTTTACAGAACACCACCTGAAAAGTAATTACGCCACAATTGCCTTATTAAGAGGGTATTTCACCGTATTTACCAAGAAATTTCCCCTGAGTCTGATTTAAAAAAAAAAGCTGGTGCTCCTATTTTTTTTTTTCTTCTAGGGTTTTAACAACATTGCATCAGAGCCCATTTATGCAGGTGGAGCAGTTTTACTGTGGTTTTAGCTATGCATTATGAGATGTCAAAATCTCGCATTAGAGAACACTTCCTGAAAGAAGACAAAAGTACATCCATGACCATCCCTAGGCAAGAAGTTTCTCTGTATTTACCAAAACATTTGTTATAACTAAAAATTGCTCCAGAGTCCATTTAAGCAGATGGAGCAGTTTTATTGTGGTTTTAGCTAAGCATTATGAGATGTTAAAATCTCTCATTAGTGGACACCTCCTGAAAGAGGACAAAAGTACATCCATGTCCGTCCCTAATTTGAGGTTTCCCTGTATTTACCAAAAAATTTGGTTTAATTAAAAAACTGCACCAGAATCCCTTTTAGCTGGTGATCAGTTTTTCTATGGTATTAGCTATGCTTTATATGATGATAAAATCTTTCTTTAAAGAACACCACCCGAAAAATGGTTACACCACTCTCTCCCTTATTAAAAGGGCATTTCATTCACCGTATTTATGAAGAAATTAATTTTAATCAGAAAACTGCGCCTGAGTTGATTAAAAAGCTGGTGCTTCTATATTTTGTATGGTTTTAACTAAGTGTTATCAAATGATAAATATCACTTTTAGATAATTCCTCTTGAAAGAGGACAAAAGCCCTTAGCAAGAGGTTTTCCTGTATTTACCAAGAAATTTGTTTTAATTAAAAAATTGCAACAGATTCCATTTAAGCAGGTGGGGCAGTTTTACTGTGGTTTTAGCTATGCATTATGATATGTCATGTTTAGAGGACGCCTCCTGAAAATGTTATCCATGTAGTGTGTCATAGGTGTCATTGTATACTTATGCATTAACGTTAAATAAGGAGTATACAATCTAGAAATGTGTTTTATTACAAAAAAGTTATTAAAACTTGGTAACTTTCGATTTAAGGAATCAGTCCAGGACCGAATAAAATAAAACTCGAAATTGGCAGAATAGTTAAAAATTAAAGTTTTTATCCGCGAAAATTAATAAACGGGTGCTCACCACTTGACAAAGAGGTTAGGAAAATTTCGCACAATAAGAAAATTTATACATTATCGGCATGTAAATAAATGCCCGAAGGTGAAAAAATTAAATTAAAAAAAAAGAAAAAAGAAAGAAAAGGAATTTCGAAGAATAAAAACGAGCTCGTTAAGCACGCGGCTGTAAAAAACTCACAGACGGTCGGTCAGAAGAAATTGTCAAAAGCCATTGAATTACCTAGTGAATTTAGAGTCCGATTTCTTGTCATTCGATGGATATTTTGTTCGTAAAATGATATATAGAGCTTAAGCTGAGTACGTCGTACACATGCATGAGACCCCTCATCATACTGAAAATAAAAAGCAACATAAACAAACTAAAAAAAATATATATATACATCTAACACAAAACAAATAAAAACAAGAGAAAACATTTATACAGTGGTGATGATAATAATAAAGAAAGAAAAAGGAAAAGTTGGGCGTCGTAGAAATAAATGAAAGCCGACTTCCCGTTTTGAAAAATTGTTAGTCGGCCTTCTGCGTTTTCCATTTTCCGTCCGGTCTCGAATTTTCTTCATTTCACGGAAACGGCAAGAAAACGCACACGACCCGCTGCAAAGGGACAAATTNCTTAGAAGCATAACAACTGAATAACAGTTTCTTACGCTACCTCACTCAATAAAGAAGGTTATAAATTGTTTGTGGCACGAGTGACTTCTCTCCGCTCTGTCTCGATGGACGTGTCGAAGCCACTCTATGACGTCACACTACAAACCAATTCACCAATTTCTCTCCAAAATGCCCAAAACACTCTTTATAAAATATCTGGTAGAAATTTGTAACACCAGCTAAAAAAGAAAAAATAGCCTAAACTGTAATTTTCAATTTCAAACCGTTTTAAATATATATATTTTTTACTACTTTTTGTTTCTCTTATATGACAAATAATTTTTTTTTATTGGTAGTCTAGTAAACATAAAAGGGAATTTCAGTGGTGAAGTGGTTAGGACATAAGACTCGTATTTGCCTCGCTAGAGGTCCTGGATTTAAATCCCAGCTTACCACCCTTTGGAATTTTATTTTAGGTTAACTGAAGAAAAAAAATTGTAAAGTGGTTCTGACACCTCGTCCGCAACATCCAAGCAGGAAGTTAGTCTTTAAGACCTCCCGTTTAAGGATTACTTTACTTTTAATTAAACGAAACATAAACACTGAACATCCGGTTGGCTTTACCAAAAATCAACAACCATGGCTTCAAAAGTACACACGCTATGGTATTTACAAATGTAGTTCATACTTTAAAAGAAGACGAACAATTATTTTTCTGAAATAATAACTGTTTACAGTAAAAAAAATTTTTTTTTAAAGGTTTTTTCTCGTAGTGCTGACATTTTTTAAAAAAGCTCATTTGTAAGTATGTCTGCCCCTCATGTCTTTTATAAGGATCAAACAAAAGGTCTTGCCTTTTAATAACCTCAACCTTCATTTTTAAAACTTCTTTTTTTAAATTAGGTTTGGACTACACAAAGCCAAATTACTGTATACTGTTATGGTTTAACCATGATTAAAACTAAACGTCAGTTGTTAACAAAATAGTTAACTATTTAAGAAGTTAAAGAGAATCGAAAGGTCAACTTATACACCTATATTATGCCAAGCATTCAATGTATATTACGCCATCACCACGGACGTTAAACCCTCCTGTTTAAGGATTACTTTACTTTTAATTACTACAAAACACAAAAACTAAAAAATCTGGATGGTTTTACCAAAAATGAAACAGAAGTAAAAGAGTACAATTGAAAATTTGATCAAATGGTCCTTTTAAAAGCTAGAATAAGAAATGAGTAGTACATTGATTATTGTGGGTGAAATATTTTTGGAATATTATAAATGTTAAAAAAGTTGTAACATAAGAAATGGAACCCCTATTAGAAAAACATTGTCATACCTTTCTAATGATATTGCCTGATGGTTACCTACCTTCCTGGTCTATCCTCACTGATTTTTATTGATTCGGGCATGTTTCAGCATTTCGCCATCTTCAGTATTTAAGTGATTGTTTTCTAAAATTTAAAAATCACCTTTACAATGAAAATGGCGAAATGTTTCTAGACCAACAAAATTTAGTGAGCATAGACCAGGATGATAGGTATCTATCAGGCAATAAGTTTATCACTCATTAGACAACAAGAGAAAATTTCTAATAATAGATTAAACATTAGAACAATTTTGTGAGTCGCAGTAAATAAAATGTGAAAAATATGTAACATCAAGCAAAGCTTCTTCACAATTAAATCACTCATGCCACACGCATATCAATGGTTTACTGCATATTCATACTTTTATTTAGAAAACTACAAAACTATAGATCATTTCCTTCATAACTTACGTAATGATGAAGCAATTGGGATTATTATACAAGATCGATGTCATGCAGCAATATACGCCTCTCTTCCATTCTACTAGAGAAAATATCTAAATGTGTCTTAGCAATAGATAATGTTAATTATTATTGCAATCCCAAATGTAACATTTAGAATCCTGAAACAAATATTCATATGTAAGCAAAATGTTAAAGTTACGCCTCATTTAAACTTTTAAAAATTACTTGTAGTAATAGATAAAGTGGGTAATTCACTATTTCAAATTTAAAAAAAAAATTTCTAGCCTGCATATTCAATTTAATAAGATTTCAATGCTCTACAAAATTTACAGCATTGACATACCTATACATCCTATAGTCAGACAGAAGGACAAAAAGAAAATGAGCGAACTTTGGAATTCACTTATTGGACATAGACAATCCGAGAATCTTCTAACCAATTTTGGCAAGAAAGAAATCACAGAATGTGTCAAAGGAAGCAGGAATAGACTGCGAATCCTAACAGGATTCCTGACAGGACACTGTAGATTAAATGGACATCTAAAGAAAATTGGAATAATCCAAGATGGCACATGTAGATTCTGCAAAGAAGCAGAAGAGACGCCAACACACTTACTAACAAACTGCGGAGCTACACTAGCCCGCAGGAGGAAGTGTTTTGGGATGTACAATGTGACCATAGAAGAACTACAACTGCTGAAACCGGGCCTATTAATCAAGTTTCTTGATGAAATAGGACTCACCGATGTGCTTTAGGCAGAGCACAGGGGATACAATAGCTCTTAAAGGGCGCAGTATACCATACCCTGAAATATTATATCTATCTATACATCCTAACATCCGTATCACAACCGTCATGGACAACACGGCAATTCTCTCCCTATCCTTAAAGTAAGTAAAAGCAACTCAATCTAACCTACACCTCATTACTGATCGGTGGTGCATCAAGCTAAATGAGCAAAAGAGCCAGCACATGACATTCACACTCAGAAGACCTACCTCCCCGCCAATGCACATGTAGGTAATCACTCCCTCCAACCCAACCAAATCCTACTAGGTTCTACTTGGACAGCAACTTTAAAAAAAAAAAAAAAAAAAAAAAAAAAAGTGATCTGTCGCATCCTCAACGCTCCATTCCATTTCAATAAAAAAACCATTCACAAAGACGTAGACATCCCATTCGTGATGGACATGATCCATACAAACTCTCCTTCCAACAATCCATGAGCTCCCTCTTTTCAACTTCCCACCCTAACAATCCACCTCGCCATCTAATAAGACAGTGGTTTTGCAGCTTCCTAACACAACTCTATACCAGCAATCCTAAACATTGAAAATTCCAGCAATGGCTCCCTCCCTCATCCCTGTGATCTGACAGGTTCTTTCCAGTCGTTATTTTAGTGATCACTACCTTCAGATTGTTAAATGTATAAATTCTGTGCAGAAAGCAATAAATAAAAAATAAACAAATAAGAAAAAAAGACGTGCCACTAAATTCAAAATATTTACAAACAAACTCGGAACATATGCAGAATGTAGCGTCCCCTCACACGTGATCTTAGGAAAGTGCAGACTGTCTAAACAATTAAAATACATATTTGGGTCCCAGGTTTGCACTGGTCCACCCAAAAATGCCGAATTTCTCTAGCTGAAGAGTTGAAACTATCGACAAAAGGCATTTCACAATTAGTAGGGAAGTGGAGCCACCAACTGAACGGGCGATGACGACACGTTTTCGGTCTGTTGAAAATGGCCGTGCGGGTCGCGTTATTTTTTATTAATTCTGATACAGAAAAAAATGAAAATATTCATTAAAAAAAAACTCAAACAAAACCCTGAACACTTATTTATAAATGTATTCGTTAATACCCTTTGGTAACTCAAATTTGATTTCCACTGCCTTTCCAATGACAAATTCAAAATTCAAATCCCCTGAATCGATTATCGACGGTTGGCCATTTGAACTCCAGCAACCAAACACTTGGCGAGTCGACAGATCTTGCACGATGTCGTTCTTAACGGTTAAGGTAGGAAGTTCACACTATTATATTTACGTATTTACAACAAATTTAGATTTCTTGTATATTCAAAAAAGTCGTGGATCAATTGCGAAATTTTGTTTTAAACTTTTACGAGCACGTGTTCAAAAATCACACTAGCTATGGTATGTTTCTATAAATGTAGTTCACTGCTTAAAAGAACGATGAACGTTGGTTTTTCTGAAATAACAACTATTAACAGTATAAAAAAAAAAGCTTTGAGCTCTGGGCAACTTCCCTTTTGTAAGGATTAAACAAACTTTTTTTTCTTTTAATAACCTCAACCTTCATTTTTAAAACCTCTTTTAAATTATGTTTGGACTAACACAAAACCAAATAATTGGATACTGTTATAGTTTAACCGTAATTTATAACTAACCGTTATTTGTTAAAAAGGTTAACTATTTAAGTCGAGGATCGGAAGGAGGTCAACTTATACACCTAAGTTATACTGAGCTTTCAACGTACATAGCGGCTTAACTGATGAACTTAAATGATCGATTAGATGTTTGATTCAAAATAAAATTTAACAAATTGCCACAAATCGTTAATTAGCCTTAATATTCCGGCTGTCACTCGGAAAAACCTTTAGTGCCTGTAGATTACATTAAACGTAAACCATTATCATTGCTAAATGAAACAATAATTAATACCTGATGATGGCGTGTAATATACGTTGAAGTGGCATAATTATAGTCTGGTGACCTAGTTGACCTTCTTTCGATCCTCTTTAACTTAATTATTAATTTTTATGTAAGGTATTGGTTGAGATAAAAAAACTCAGTGTCACGAGCGGGATTCGAACCCACGACGTTCGGCTAAATACGCCGCTGCTCTACCACTTGAGCATCGTGACTTCGAGCCACTTGAAAAACGTCACTGATTAATTGTGACTTTTTACAATATAACGTTGCAGTTTACGTTGTCCAATGTGCTGAGCTGAGTTCGTTATCCAGCCTTACTGTATGTTTAAATTTGAGAAAACACTGCACCAATCTCGTCTGACTCACGTCTTTCACTAATATGAACTGTCTGAAAAAAACAGGAAAAACCATTACGTGTTCTTCACACAGGTAATTTAGGTGAGAAGTCGTGGCTTTGTCTTGCTTACATATACATGTGAATTTGGTCTCTTCTGCTTTTATGGTGTAGTTTAGTTTGTATACGCGCGTTTTGGGTATTATTTTCATAGCCGTTATTGCATTTAATGACTTTTATTCTTTTTTTGTTGTTTTGGTTAATTTATTTTTTGTCAGTGGTACTGTCATTGTATTGTAATACTGCAATTTTGTAGTGTACTTCTCACAATTTGTGACGGTGGTATTGATTGTATGATATTGTAGGTTAGTGTTCGTCTTTTTGTATATGACGAATTGTTGTTTGCTGGAAGTTTCAGTTAGTGTTAGCTCAAGGAAATATATACTGTCACGTGAATTTTACGTAACAGGTTTCGGTCAGTAGTACGTGAGTTATGTTGTTGTTGATATGTATTATGAACGTATTCTCATATGTGTGTGATGCTCTTACCATAATTTCAGGGAATTATTTCTCTTAAAAAATTTGTAAGTACGCTTTTATCCTGTTTGTTACCCTGCTTCACTGTATGAGAAAAAATCAAAATATTTACTTCACACAAGTTGTTACTTAGGCTCCTTGCTGTTTTTGTTTGTAAGGAATTATTTCGTTAAGTCAGTGAGGTGTCTTTCTTGTTAGTGTCGTCTGTTTTTTTGAGGTGCAGTTTAATTTTTGTGTGTGCGTTTTGTTGCTCGTGCTTATGTTGTACCCGATATTTCCATTATTTTTATATGTTGTCATGATGTGGGCCTCCATTTTATATTACTACTGAGCAAATAGTGTAGGTATAAATAAATCTGCCAGACCAGGAGGCTGTGGGGGAGAGAAAGCATTCACTGCTGGAACTCTTTTTACTTAACTTTAACTTTTATTTATTTTGGAGGGTTAAGATAAGAGGTCACGAAGCCATCGTCGTTTTAAACGGCGTGTAGGATTATAAGGGTGGGACGTTGAGGAAAGAGCTTTAGGGTGGAGGGATAGTGTGGAAATTGAGGAAGCGTGTTCGGATAAGATCCCTCACGAATGGGATTTTAAGGTCTTTATTGGTGACGTAAAAGGGGGCGTTGAGGGTACGGCAGTTAACTTTGGATTGAAAGGATTGTCGAAATAGATCTGAAGAGTATTTTGAAAGTGGTTAGGTTAGTTTATTATGTTTGCTTAGAGGTGTTGATTTTGGTATCTGAGTATCTTTTATTAAGTTCTTGTCGAGTTAATCTTGTATTTGGGTTCCACATAAGTCTGTTATCTAAATGAAGCTCAAGATAGCTGACTTGGTTGGACGGAGGTATTACCTGGTTGTTTATGTGCACTGGTCGAGCCAATCGGTAATTTTGTTTTGATTACTTCTGTGACTAGGATAGGATTGAAAGAGGTAAATAGGATTACGGAGTCGTCTGCATAGGTTGTGAGTTGTTTTTAGATATGTAGGTATGTCAGCACTGTAGGATCTAGGATATTTCCTTGTGGAACGCCAGCTTTGATTGGCGTGATGGGTGATAAATTGGTGCCGATTCTCAGTTATGAAAAATAAGCGCAATACGGTTTCTTTATATATATAAAAAAAACGGGCTCTGAACACTCAACGAAAAAATGTTGGATGACGGAATGAAGATATATGCAGGACTGCGTGTATGAACGGAGATTTTTTTATTATTGCAGCAAAAAGGTTACCCCTTCGCCCTTCGATTGCTAGGTGTTGATAGTCAATTTATTAAAAATGACGGATTTAGCTGAAGCTTTCGCCTAAGTTTTTGGAAAAAAAATTCAAAGTTAACCCGTTGTGCCGATTGTTCATTCCTCTGTAACCCTTTCGGACTTTGATATTCATGAAGACAGATCTGGTTTAGTGGATAAGTCGGTTGACCAATAATGGTGCCCTTAGAATGTTCTCAGGTCGATGTTAACAAGTATATGCCAATGTGGCTCGACCATACGAAATTATTATTTATGTTGAGTTGTCTGGGTATTCGAGGAAATCGTTCTTATTTACGTGACTGAAAAATGAACTGTCTTCAGTTCTCCAGCGTTCCCACCTTGGCCCAAGAGTGCTTATATCAGTAATGACACATCTATATAGCAAACAAACACTATGAGCCCTGAAGATGATCTCAATAAAGATCATCAAAACATACCAATGAACCCGAAAGAACATAAATATACCTAACAACTGTGTTTTAATGTCATTTGTGTTACTAATTTATTTACTGATTTCCCTGTTAAAGAATGTACTAAAGTAATAAAACAAAACTATTAACGAATTTGTAAAAAATGATATAATAGACTTCTTAAATATATACTATCTAATTATTGTAAATTTAATAATAAATTTTATAAAATGAAAGGATTACCAATGGGGTCTCCATTATCCCGCTCGGTGCGGAAATATTCATGGATAACTTGATTTTTTTTCCAAAATCATTCAACAAATTAATTAAACCTGGAAACATTATGTAGACGATATTTTATATATATGGTTGGGAACACTAGAGGATCTAAAAGAATTCCTCCAACCTATTAATTCTTTACACCCTAGTATAAATTTTGCATTGGAAATAAATAAAGATCGTTCTTTATACTTTTTAGACTTAAAACTGTCCATAATAAATAACCTAATTGTAATAGACATTTATACAAAATCCATAACTACAGGCACTATGAAACCAGCAGACTGATCTCGCCCATGGAGCCAAAAAGCTGCTGGATTCATTTGGCTCATAGACGTATGCTGAACCTCCCACGAACACCTGCTAATTATAAAAAAGAATTACTAACAAACCTTAGCTAAAAACAATGGATATCAAGAAATATTTATCGATAGGCTGCTCGTAAAATGAATAAAAAAATTAACTTTAAAAGAAACAACAATCGGACTCACCCACCCCACCAAAAATGAATGTTTAGGTTTTCATTGCATACCGTAACTTAGGTAGAAAAAGTAGGTAAAATTCTTAAACGGGAAGGTTTTAGAGTAGCTTTTAGAGGTGTGTGTTTACTTTGAAACTTCCTCTCAACACCTAAAGACAAGGTTGAAAACTTGTCAAAAAGCTGAGTTTAAAAGTTTAATTGTAATGATTGCGATGTTAAATATATACGACAAAACGGCAGAGAAATTAAAACGAGAGACAAAGAACACTTGTCTAAATCAAAATTTTTTTCTGAATTTAAGGACAATTTAATTGAAACAAAGCACAATTTAAATTTAAATACAACGGTGTTACACAGTTTCAACGCAGGGAACAAGGTTGGAAAAGGAACAAGGGGGAGGGAACTAGGTTGGTTTCAGAAATTTCTAATAAAAAATGTAAAATGGAGATAAATGCTTAAATAATTAGATTTTTATTAACCTCCTATTTTAAACATGTACCTAAATAATATTTAACGTACAAATTAATCATATTAATTATTTTTATTAATATGTTATAATTTATTATTTTAATTTTATTAATTAATTACTAAAAATATATACAAATTAATCACTAATTTAAAATTATTTTAATTTAGTTATTTTAATTTATTAGGATAATATTAGTTGGGTTGTAATTCGCATTTTTTGCACGTTCAAAATTGAGCGGCATCGAAAACGATTGGAACATCGCATTGGTGGGTTCACTCTCTTGTCGAGAGACGTGTTTGTAATTCCTTCAATCTGATGATGAGCTTTAAAGGTTGAAATCAAAATTATTGAAAACAACAAACTGTGAGTAAGAATTAGTTTATTAAGAGAATAATTCAGTCGAGTTAAACACGGTCGGGACGGTGCCCAAACGGCCAGAAACATAAATGATGCGATCTGGGCGATCGCAGTGTGAGTAACAGCACCGTTCAGACAAGGTTTAAAAATTTTCTTGAAGGGAGACCTTAGCTTTGAAGACAAAGGTCGTGGAAGGATTTCTTCCCTAGATGATGATATTCTGTGAGCTTTAGTTGAAGAAAATCACAGAACAACTGTTCGAGAACTTGCAGAAAATCTTTCAGTTAGCAAATCGACCGTCCCTCACCGCCTTAAGGCAATTGGAAAGGTGAAAAAAGCTCGAAAGTTGAATTCCTCATGCATTAAACGACCGCTAAAAAAAGCATCCTTATTGGTCAATGGGAAAAGTCCGATTCTGTTACACGACAATGCTCGATCCCATGTCTCTCACACGTGACAACACGAAAACTGTTGAATCTTGATTATGAGGTTATGCCTCATCCTCCCTTTTCTCCAGACCTCTCGTCTACAGACTACCATTTTTTCAATCACCTCGACAACGTTTTACAACTTATAAAATTTATCGATAAAAAGACGTTTGAAAATGCGTTTACAGTTGTTTATAATTTTCATTGAGTATAGATGCCGCAAGTTGGAGAAGTATATGGAGAGTGATGGAGGGTATTTTAATTAGTAAAAAATGTTTAAAATCTTTTACTCAATTATCTTTATTTTATAACCATAAACCTGCATTATTTTCCGGACAGCCCAATAGTTTTACCGTTCGGTTGTTATCAATCTTCTTCAAATTACCATTCAGTCGTTAGGTAGTTAGTTCATTATTTTTCCCTGCTTCCTTTGATGCCTTCAGTTGTTTCATTCTTTCTGTTTTCACTTTCACCATACCTTCTTGTCTAAGATCTATGTTAAATAAGCACGCTAATTAAAGTTAGTCTGCTGCGTACCAGGACATGTGCAGTAAAGGGAAACGAGAAAGCGGACGCACTCGCAACGAAATCTTCCTGAGCCATTCTGTGCCATAGGGATTCACACTATGCGTACTGCGTACTGTAGTATGAAAGTGGAATTCACACATTTGGCTTAATCCAATACCCAGTGAGTGTGGAAAGGAGACTGCATAACAGAATGCATCAAAGGGAAGCATAAGCACTGCGGACTGAACCCTTGAGGAAGATTTGTATAATCCAAGACGGCATAGATTCTGCAAGGAATCAGAGGAGACACCAAAGTACTACCGACTGTAGTACAGTGCAGTAGGAAGTGCCTTGGTGGAAGAAATTCAACCAGTAAAACCGGACCTACAATCAAATTGAACACTCAGCGATGCGCTACTACACTTTCAACTATCCCAGTTACATATTAAATAATTTATAAAACCTAAAAATATTCTTCTTTCTATTTATCTTCTGCTTCAAAATCGTGCCAATTATAACACAACCACTAATGAGTTATAAACGGCTTCAAGCACGTTCCAATGTGACAGCTTAAGTCGTACTACTGTCGTAGTCCGTTAGTCAGTTACAAAATGAGACAAACCCAAGAGTTTCGTAGTGTTTATTTCGCACTATTACAGATAAAGCTTGGTCTATCCTTACTTTAATAAAATACTGGAATTTGTTTATTTAGAACTTAGTTTCGGTCAGTGGTGTTGATGATTATATAGTAATTCCATGGTTTATCGTTTTTCATCATTGCCTCAAGAGTACAGGATGAATCATTTCTCCTTGGTTTAGTTTGGAATTTGTTGAACAAAAAAAGTTTTTGTCCAGGACTATTAGAATTAGTAGGTGGCCTTACTTGACAGTAGGACCAGGTGGCCACTTAACAGAGCAGTTTACGGACAAATATAACATTTTTATTCGTTAGCAGAGGACACTTTTGTTTGATACAAAACAGATAAAAATAAGAGAAAACATTTATGGAGTGATAATAATAAAGAAAAGGAGGAAAAGTTGGGCGTCGTAGAATTAAATGAAAGCCGACTTCCCGTTTTGAAAAATTGTTAGTCGGCCTTCTGCGTTTTCCATTCTCCGTCCGGTCTTGAATTTTCTTCATTTCACGGAAACGGCAAGAAAACGCACACGACCCGCTGCAAAGGGACAAATTACAGAGTCTGTTTTGAAGGTGACCTCGTTGATCATTTTTTTTCTTTCTCTCTCTCTCTCTTTACTTAGAGACTGGATAAAGGAAGAAAATGGTCCAAATTAAAATAAATACCGTGACTAACAAAAACGTGTTCCGAAGTGAAACAGAAAATCTGCCACATTCGCAATCAAAAAAAAAAAAAAAGAGATGAAAGACTTTTCTTTTTCTAAATAGGCATTTTCCAAAGGCCCCTGATGATCAGAAAACTTTACTTACGGATATATCGGATCGGGGAGGAAACCCGTGTACGTTGAAAACACTTTTATCGCCAGATACGATCTGAGTCATAAGCGGTGTCGAGGATTTCCCATTCGGTTTGCCTTGTTATTTTTCGTTTTGCGGGCCGCTTTCAGTCCGAGACGTGTGAAATAGGCATTAGAAAGGGACTCCCGATTGTTCAATTTCACTTTTCACCCTTGGCCCGACTTTACATTTTTCTTTTTTAATCAAATTCGATATTTTCTTAGAAACATAACAACTGAATAACAGTTTCTTACGCTACCTCACTCAATAAAGAAGGTTATAAATTGTTTGTGGCACGAGTGACTTCTCTCCGCTCTGCCTCAATGGACGTGTCGAAGCCACTCTATGACGTCACACTACAAACCAATTCACCAATTTCCCTCCAAAATGCACAAAACACCCTTTATAAAATATCTGGTAGAAATTTGTAACACCGACTAGAAAAAGAAAAAATAGTTTAAACTGTAGTTTTCAATTTCAAACAGTTTTAAATATATTAGTTTAAATATTAGCTATATTGACGACTTTTCAACAGACGTATATTATATGATATATATATGTATATATGTTTCTCTTATATGATGAATAAGAAGGTGTATCGACCACTTTTCAACAAATGAATAAGGATGAAGAAACAAGTTCAGTTGTTTGCCCCTGATGATGACTTTAAAATAGGTCGAAAGCTGGGCAGTAACAATATTGAATTTGTTTTTACTACATCTGGATCATTCCATTTTATTCGTGGTTAAATACATTAATAAAGAACAATATATAATATAATCTTTCCTCAAATGTCACAAGACTTATTTTACAAAGCGTTTCAAATGTCACTTAATACGAAAGTGATATTTGTGGTGTTTAGTGACCGTTAGTCAATGATTATTCGGACATCGTGAGATGCGGACTGGTATGACGTAGGTTTATAAAAACATTTTCTTTATGATGCCAACGTTTCGATCTTTGTTGAGATCATCTTCAGGGCCTGGGATTTATAAACATTGTTTAAATTTTACAAATACATATAGGAGGTGAGAAAAAATGAATTTATGCAATGATAGAACATTTAAGATTTAAAAAAAAATGTCGGCTCCTTTCACCTCAATGAAGCCGACTTCTCATATAAAAATGTCTTTCTATTCCCGACTTCCCTCCCCACCCCTTCAAAATCCAACGATTAAATAAACATAAAACATCAATATCTCACTGGCACTCTCAACACGACACACAAGAAAGACACATCTACATGGAAAACAAACACTGAGTGAGTACAAATATTTTAATTGAGTCTAAAATTTTCTAGCATTGTATAAATTTGTTTTTTGAATCTAAAATTTTCTAGCATTGTATAAATTCATTTTTTTTCTCACCTCCTACATGCATTTGTAAAATTTAAACAATGTTTATAAATCCCAGGCCCTGAAGATGATCTCAATAAAGATCGAAATGTTGGCACGATAAAGAAAATGTTTTTCTAAAACTTACGTCACACTAGACCGCATCTCAGGTTCTCCGAATAATAATTAACGAAATTGAAAGTTGAATTTTTCATACAATTTTGAAAATAAAAATAGTCAAAAGAACCTATGCAACAAACTGCAATTCATTGTCATCTTGATATTGCACACCCACAAGAAAAGTGACACAACTCAAACAAAAGTACATTTTACAGGAGAGACAAATGGAAGTTTCCTTTTTTGACTTATGTATTAAGTACACGCCATTACGGTTGTTGACAATAAAACTGTCATGACCCATCAATATTGTCTTTCATTTCTCCTAAACTTAAGCGAAAACACAAAACTTTAAAAATCCAGCTGTACTACCCATAAAAAACTACCCCTTTTTGAGTTGTGACACTTTTCTTGCATATATGCTCTCAGTAATTTATGTTTGTTTGCTCTAACGATAATGGTGGTCAATGAATGACTGTAAGGGTATTCATTTTTTTTGTGATAGTAGCAGACAATATACAAACCAAACAAACAAGCATAAATATCCATGATCCATTTACTAAGATTATATTTGGCTCAAATATGCTTTCCTCTTGGAGTCAGGGCTAATTAATTATTTAAAATGCAAAATTAATTATTGAAATAAAGGTTTTATTGATATTAAAAATATTATAATTAAAACATTAAAAAAATCGTTGAAACTATAAAATAATGTAAAAGTTAAAAGACAACATTGTTGAAAAATTATGTAAAAACAACAAATTAAGAATATTATTAAAATAAAAGAAATGAAACTAAAATAATTCCCGAACACTATATCAAGGTGTGGTCTTGAAGAAAAAAGCAAATTCAGTTCTTACTGCTCAGTTTTCGACCTATTCTAAGATAATCATCAAGGCCTATATTAATTTTCCATTATGAAAAACATTTGTACAATTGATTTAATAATTGTTTTTCAAATGTGAAAATGTGATTCCGATACAGCATAAATCCTTCAATAAACAGAAAAAACTGACCTAACTCGAAATGTGCCACTTTTCCTGATGAATACTCAAACCGATCCTATAAAGCTTGACACAGAACTAAGAAGTCCACCTACAGTTGTCATTTTTCCTGCAGTATCACACACCTGAGTACTTCCAAAAAATTAAATAATCCAGTTTTTATCATTTTTCTACTTGTGTCTGTGTGAATTTCTTGTGGATGTGTGATATTTGTTCGTAAATTTTAATTAAAGTTATTTTAGTAAAAACTTAAAATTAAATTTTCCATCACATTTGTAGATTCATTGTCAACGAAACACAATATACCAAACTGCATTATGGCACTACACTCGATCTCTACAAATCCACTTCATACAATAGATTTCTTGAAATTAAAAATATAGAGAGAAATAAATATAGAAATACTGTCAAAGATAGTAAATGATAATCTCATCAATAAAGCAATCAATCAACAAAAAGCAATGGGCTCTATTACGAATAATAAAACTACTACTATTACACCTACTATATGTTTAATTAGACACAACATGAGTAAGTTAGTTTTACATTGTTGCTCAATCATTAAAATAGAATCATGCGGAAAATAAATCAGCCAAAAATTTGTTTCTGCAACTTACAACATATCGCTCATAGGTTAAAAAGTTAAACTTTTTAATATTTAATCATTAGGACTTTGTCATAAGTCTATTTTTTATTATTTTGCAATTCCTTGGCTCGATGTAGAGAACGTGTAGGAATGCCACCCGATATGAGAATTGGGCTTGCCATTTTGGCCCTCCTCTCTTTTGAATTCTTGGAGGAAAAAGAATTTATTGTACATAGAAATGATAGATTTGTTTTCCCTAACGTGTGGTTAAGAGTGAATTTATTGGCGTAAATGTGTAGTTCGAGAGGGCCTATAGTAGAATATTGTGTACCCGGAATTAAGTAATAGGTGTAAAGGGTGATGGAGGAATGTCAAGCACTTGCTAACTGAGTGAATGGTATGTAAATAGGAAAGAATGTATTTAAGAGTGTGAGTGTGTGAATGCATTTCAGAACTGATTGCGTTGAGGACTGAAATGACCTAGCTGTCGGCAGTATCCAGAGCCCAACCGTGCTGGACCGAGGTTTGTCCCAACTGCCAACACCTGTGGTGGGTAATTTATTGTAAAATTTGAATTGACGGTGTACTGGGGGAAGCGATAGGCTCAACTCTGTACATGAATGTATATGTCATGTACATAAATGAATGTAAATCAGTAATAAGTAATTTGCGGGAGAGAAAAAGGGAAACACGTGGCATTCCGGGCGTCGAACGAAAACGTGGTCCAATTTTGGAAATAATTCAAAATGAGAATATAGTTGTGTTGTTGACCTTTAAAGGAAGTATTTAAAAGCGGCGCGCGTCGTTCACCTGTTTACCTTCCTATTTTCTGCCTTCTTAGTTCTTACTCGTTCTGCTTCTGCTCCGCGGGGAGTAGGTAACAATAAATATAACAGACAGCAGGAACAGAGACCGAGACGCGAGACGCATTGAAGATTCGATCGCAGAACGTAGTGCGTCTAGCTGTTCACTTTGCCGCCGATCCGGCTTCTTCAATTTATTACAAGTAAATTTATAAATTTCTTTCTCATTAGTTTTATTTTATTTTTATATTTATATTTATATTCTGCGTCGCTCGTAATCGCGCCTTGTTTATTTTTTAACTGATACAACACATTCTAATAAGATTTTATTTTAGTAATAGTACTTTATTTACTAATTACAGATACCCGTAGAGAATCCACTTTTCATCACAAGTGATAGTTCTATCCAGAAAAGGCCTCCACTCTTGTATTTAAAAACTTTTTGATACAGAAGTTAATTTCCCCTGCCCGTGTAGTTTTACTTCTACCCCAGTCTCCAGACCACAATCCTGAGGTTGGTTATCACAAAAGGCTGAATTATTCCTCCAAGTAACAAAATGCTACTGAGGTAAACATTTTTGCTTGAGAGAGGATTAAAAGGTCTTGAAATTTGTACACAAGATTAATCTATCAAATATAAACACTTTATTATATAGAAGGGTAATTGAAAGAAAACATGAAAACGCATTATTTTCCAGACTACCCAATAAAACAGATTTATTTTTTGAAAACCAACTTTAACAAGGTCAATAAGAGTTATGAGCTGTAATATAAATTATTTAATTATGACGGTTTAAAAGAAAATTTACCAAACACATGAACACATAGAATGACTATGATAAATAAAATTTATGATTTATGATAAAAAAAAAACCTAATTTTCCCCTTAATGCATTATCTCTACTGGCCTCACGGAGGGCCTTAAGTCTCCTAGGCATCGAGTAAATAAGCCATTGCATTTTGAACCTGTTCAAAGCTGGAAGTAGCGAACAATGTCTAACCTGTCTCTTTACCATGTCACATAAGTTTTCTATGGGGTTCATGTAAAATGAACAGGCCAATTCATTGTGCTAATCTCTACATCCTCCAAGTAATGGGTGACAACTTGAGCTATATGTGGTTGAGCAATTAACACGAAGTTAAGCTAAAGGTACCACAGCTTCCAGAAGAACTTCCTCAATGTACCTTAGTGCAGTCAAAGATCCATTCTGTATGATAATCAGTTCGGCACAAGCATGGATGTTGATTTCACCCCATACTGAAACTGTCTTTGAAAAGGGTGTGACTCACACATGGCACATGAAGCAAAGCCTTCTCCATACTCGGTCCACATTGCCATAAACCAAACCGGCACTCATCTGTGAAGAGAACAGCCATTGTGTCCAGGCGACATGCTGATTTACGAAAATTATTTCTATGATTGATCTCTCTCCAGTAGTAAAGAACTTGATGGGAGACATCTAGAGCCTAGGCTATTCTTAAAATTACTGTTTTAGAGCTTACCCTTATATTACATGCTGTTTGGAGTTGACTGCCTATCAGGAGGTGTTAAATGATGGTTATGTAATGCGATAAGAGCAATAAACCAATCATCCCTAGCACATCGTCAACTACTACCTTCTCTTCGATCAACATTTCCATTTGCCTTAAACTGCTGTAGACCATTCTGGATGGTACAGGGCAGCATACCTTTGACTTGGGCTATGTAACGGACACTATGTCAATGGCCACAGCAAATGCCCATGCGAGATCTTTTAGCCTTAAAACCATGCTTTAAAAAAACATGTTAAGTTTTAAGTCACTATTAATCTATACCTGCAGTTATTTGGAAATAAACAAATAAATGCAAGTGTCCAGTTTTTGTTTGAGTGTATTTCAAGGTGATTTAGGATGACAGTGATTTTGTAATTTTTGCATACTCGTTTATCTACTTTTCCTCCTGGTTTTATTTATTTAATATAAAATGAAATATTTTTGTTTCTTATTAACAGCTGGCGTTAAATTTGATTAGATTTGGGCCATTTTTCCTAGACCACTGAAAACAATGAAAATAAAATAATGGTTTACTAGTTAACTACCTAATTTGAAATTTTATTTAGGCTATAATTAATTATTTTCTTGTGTTACTTCACTATTACTTTTTGGTAACAATGTGAGATGTACAAAAAAAGATGTGTGCCATATTTTTTAATAATATACACAATTTTAAGGACTTTTGCTTTTTACCATGATTTCTCTGTTAATTTAAAAGAAATCTTGGCATATTTGGTAACAAAAAATTAAGAAACACCTATGATATCTTTTGATTATAAATTATTATTAATTTGAGCTTTTAAACAAAAGAAATTAGGTATTGAGAAAAAAGAATTTGAGGCAAACCTGCCCAAACTAAAAAGTTACTGGAAGAATCCTACTTAAAAACAGTACCAAAAATATGAAAATCCAATAGTGAGGGGTGAGGAGCTAGGAGGGAGTGAACTTAAACAAACCAAGCTGGTTGATGTGCGGGAGAAAATGCAAACATGTTTTTACTTTCATCGCCTATAACTCTGCAACCCCCAGTTGATTTGGCAGAAAAACAATCCCAACCATCCCTATAGGATTCTTTACCACCCTGTCAAATTTTATTGCACAGCGATCTAAATTCGACCATTAGAGAGCGCTATATTTTTGAAAAAATATACCTAAAATTAAACATCAACTTACAGGTTTCTTGATATAAAATCGTGTGATTGAAGTATCTAACAAAGCCAAAGCGTGACCAGTTAAGAGGAAACTGATTTAATTTAGGTAGCGTTTATCAGAGGTAACAGATCATGGTTTATATAATTCTGAAATATAAGCCTCTTTTGCTTAATTAAGGCTCAACTAAGACATATTACATATAACAGATAACATCTTCACTCGGTTCCAAGGGATAATTCCCCTTTTACACCCCCCCTGGATCCGTCACTGCTTCAATTAAAAGAAAGGCACATCAAGTACCTCCCAAGGTTGCCTCAGACAAGTGGTGTGAATATGAAATGGCGAAATGTAGTAAAAAGTTGCGGGAAAAAAAATAAGAAGAAAAGTTGTCTCGATTGAAAAGAAAAAAAGATGAAATGAACTTAAGAAGAAAAAAGCTAAAGAAACTAAAAATTGCGGCAAATAAGAAAAAGCGGAAGAAGAAGAGTAACCTGTCCAAGTTTTTTCAGAAGATCCTGAGTCATGGATAATGTCAGGTGACAGTCTTGATGACTGCAGCGTTGGTCTCAGTATATAGCAGTGATGATGCCTATGGATGCAAGTGATTGTGAAAATAGCAAAAAAAAAAAAAAGAATATATCAACTTCAAGTAGAAATAAAGCTAGTGTGACAGACTGGGGTACGGGCCTACCTAGGCTTTTAACCCCTTGGGTCCTGGTCACCCGCCCTGCGTAATATATAGTGTGACAGAAGAAAAAAAGCAATTCACGGGTCAACACAAGGTAAGAGATGAATCATCACATGTAAAACAGGAGAACAGAACCATGTATGATGAATCTGTGATGGACGAGGTAAAAATGATGGACAACAAGAAGCTGTGATAGATGTTGGCAAAGAAGGAACCTTTAATAATAAAGGGGCATGGAGTTCATAAGGAAGGATATTTTGTCTTGGCTTCTTTTTCACCAGAAACAAAAAAGTAAAAACTGTATGCCTTGTTTGCGAAATACTTGATGATTATGTAGGTCCTCTTAAAGTCATGCAATGGCATGAGAAATGTTTTTGTAATCAGTCCAAAAAACAGAAGAGGATTGCCTCTTGGCAACTAAAAATGAAGAGATTGCCACATCCTTTAATCTTTGGAAAAGGAGAGAATGTGCGTTACCAGTTGCCTGAACCTGTTAACATCCCATCGCCAACAACATAAGATTGACTTTGGTACTCCAACTACTTAATAATGAAAAAATTATTAGTTTAATATTTGTTTATCATTTAAGAATTGCTTCACTGTTTTATTTTTACAAAAACAAGCTATAACTTTTTGCAACAATACATTTATTTCATACTTTTTACTAATGTCATAATTTAATTCAAGTTAAAACCTTTTTCCCATTCTCCACATCAATTTCTCCAACTAGAGGCATGTGTCCACTACTGACGCAAACCACTGTCCACTACTGAAACAAAAAACTTTTTTAAATTAAATAGTTAAAAATACAAATCTTGTTCAAAAAGTGTATATTGACCTAAAAACCCTACTGGGAAAACCTTAGAGCCAAAGCTTGAGAGTGGAGGCAGCGAAAACTGCGACCATTTTCTTAAGGTATCCACTGCTGGTACTGTTACCTTAATTGCTCTTGGAACAACACTAGTATAACTAGTCATGTTTTCAAAAGTAATTCAATATGTATATGTCGCTATGATTTTTACAATTAATTATTTATATTTTGTATATGTATTAATTGAATTTAATTTTAGTTTTTTAAATAATTTTAGCATTTGTATTTTCACATAATTAGTGTTTTATTTGTATCAACTTTTGTTTATTTGTCAGTTTTGCAATGATTTGGGCATAACTTTAGATTAAGTAACACCTTCAAAGAAAAGTCCTGTTGAAAAGAAATAATTTTTCGAGAAAACCTATAAAAACTGACAATATCTATATCAATAAAAGGAGGTAGAGATAACCATACAGCTATACACCAATTAGCGAAAGGGTCAAAACAGGGAATAAGAAGGGTCCGTTGCAGGTAAAGAACAGTTACCGACTCCACGCTGAATGTGTTAAAAAGTACAGGTACAGAAATTGGAGTCACTTGAAGCGACCAAATTCAGGCTGCCCCAGAATCACCAATACATAGGCAACCATTTTATTAAGAAAGCTGGATGCACAATTCAAAAGCTTCTTGCATTAAAAACTACACCATCAACTGTTAAAGAAGACAGTCATCAAGAAGGGCATGAAAGGTGTAGGAAGAACACTGTAGTGAGAGACTAAGATTTGAAGCTATAAATGAATGGAAAAAAAGTCCTATTCACCGATGAGACTAAAGTGACCCTTAACAGTCCAGATGGAAGATACTGGACAATACAGTTGATGGTGTTGTTTTGCATGTTGGAAATGGTGGCATTTATATGCGGGCAAATCATGTTCTTGATGCGGCATTTCTTAGGAGAGGTATTGAGTTGATACCTGGCAATAGAGGATGATCGAATAAAACGATGCCTACCATCAAAAATCTGAAATAAGGTTGCAGAAATTATGAAATATATTTTACAAAATATACATAAATAATTAAAACACCAATCTAAATCATTTCAACAGAATCTTAATAAACTTTTGTAAAAATTTACAATCTGTTTCTATCAGATCTCTGATAGAATCGACCAAAACCATACATATAAATAATAATAATGGCTTGAAATAAATTAGAAACTTTTTAACTGTTCAAAATGAGTTATGCATGACAACAGTAAAATTTTCCTATCACTAGGCTCACAGCAAACCAAATAAGGGTAAATATTATGGACTATAAAAATTTATTATATGATTATTTACTAATAATAATAATAGGATAGTGACACTTTGAAAGATCTGATTGAACAGTTAAGCCCATTCTCAAACGTTTTAATCTATGGTTTTTTTTTTTTTTTTTTGTTTCAGATTATGAACAGTAATAAGAGATATTACATTGATATTACTGGTATCACACCGATTATACTTCCTATCACGAGTAACAGCTTGTACAATGTCATAGTGTCTAATGTCTATAACAAAGCTACAGATCATCAAGAGCTGTACAGCCAGTATTCTTCATTTGGAGATCCACAGTGTATAGTTATTGAAAAAAGCAGTCACCTGTTAACATTTCGATCTGCCCGGGAGGCTATCAAATTTTATAAGAACATTAAAAGAACAGAAAAGTCTGTGCAGTTGGTAGGAATGTTACCGTCGACTATTTTATTGAACCATTCCAGGCCACCGAGACGTTTAGTGGAAAATCTCAAACTTTTGAACTATGTTGTCCAAGCGTTAATTTACGATGATAACGATGCTTTGCAGTCTGCCATTTTCGACTTTCAAGACTTTCCCATTCCACAGATTCTACCTGTTGTCGATCTGTGCCTAATGCAAAAATTAAGAAAATTTAACTTGATTGATGTTCTTGTAGCGGACTTCCCAGTTTTCTTTAACCACAACGATTTGATAGAACTGATTGAAAGTATTTTGCCTAAAAATAGTTACTTTGATTTTCAATCCTATAATTTTAATTCACAATCACATTGTCCTTTATTTTGTATAATATATGTTAGTACGCATGAAGATGCTATGTTACTTATTAAAAAATTGAGTAAAAAAAAATTATCACATAAACGTTTAAAAGTTTTTATGGTAGGGGCTTTAGAAAAATTATTAGAAATTCCGAAATAGTTAATAAGTTCCAAAATATTGACGTTATACATTAAGCACATTTTTCTTATTTTATTTTATTAAAAAACTTTTAATCTTTGTTATACTTTAACTTAATTTTTTCAATCACTAAGTTGTTATTTAATATCATTGTAATAAATAGAACTGATTGCAATACAATATAAAAGTTTCATGAATTAGATGTCAGAAAAAGGCACAGTAGATTCTCATTATCTGTGCTTTTGTTATCCACTCCGTCACACATCTGCAGTTGTTCCGTTAGTTGAGTTCTAGAGAAGAGTGGGAACATGGTAAATCACAGAAAAACAAAGGAGCCTAATTAAATTCTATTGAAAAAATTTGAGATAAGTTAATACATACATAACATTATAGGCACTCTTGATACAGAAAGTGGCCACTTGGCATGAAGATGGAAGAAAATTCTTTAAAGCCTGAAATTCAAGGTGTTTCCTGTTGTTCATGGTTATGTTTGTTGGTATGTAACCATCACAGATAATGAGAATACTGTTGTAAAAATAACCTATACAATCTTTCCTTTCCTTAGAATTAGTCGTGTGGTACTAGTACAAACAGTAGTAACTAGTACAGTAGTAGTTGCTATTATGAAATTGAATAAATAATTTTATTTATCTATTTATATTTTATCAGGTTTTTATGGCTGTGTTAATAGTTGGAATATCCATTTAAAGAAAGGAGTGCAACAGACCAACACTGAAGATTGAAAAACAAGGAGAGATCTGATTGACCGACTCAGTGAGAATGGCAGACCTGGGGCAATGGGAGATGATCATGTAACATTCACATAAAACTTCAGTTTTAAGTTTTATATGCGCAACAACAAAGTTTACCAAAACAACTCTACTTTTGTTCCATTGATTCATAATCGGATTAATGTAGTTAGAAATGAAGATGAACCAATTAGTTTTATGTTGAAGGATCATGTGTGGCAAAAGAAAGTGCCAACGGTTTGCAGAGCTTTTGCTATATTTATATACACATTATATTTTCTTAATTGATTGATTGTTTTATTTGTATTCCCCAGTTATATTAGTTCTATTTAATTAGTTAACGTAAGTTAAAACTACTTATATTAATCTCCATTGTATTCCTCTACATGGCTTACATTAGGTCAGGGTACTGGGTGGTTAGGGTAATTTAGGTTTAAGTTAGGAAGTTACCAATTTTTATTATTTTTTATCAAGCTATAAAAATTGCTTACCAATTTTATATCTTATAAATAAACATAATACTTGTAGTATAAGTGTATTACAATATAATAAATAATACAATTAATTAAGGTTTTTAGTTGAGATAAAAAAGTCAATGGCACGAGCGGGATTCGAACTCAACTAAAAAATTGTAATATATTAATTGGTCAAGCGGACCACGAAATTAGTGAATATAATAATATTTATTATGTATAAATAATACATATACTCAATTCATTTTGAAAAAATTATGTATAATTACTTGAGTAAGTCAGGAATGTGTAGCTTAAGTTAAAAATGTTTAGCTTAAGTTGGGAACGATTATGAACGGTAAGGGATATTTAAAATAAATACAAAAAAATATTTCTATTTATTTCCATTGTATTCTTCCATACATGGCTCCTGTGGAACTGGCAGGCAGGCATTTTCTTGGCCTAAAAATGGTCATACACCTGATCCGTTCTTCAACATTGTTTATTATTATTAGCCATTTAAACATAACAAGTTTCATATTATAATATATAATTTGGAGAAAAATCATGTACTGTGTTTTGAATATTAAAGGCATTGGCAAACCAAATAGACTTGAGCATAGAATTTTTAAAAGTGTTAAAATTTATTTAAATATAGTAATTTACAAAAGAAAAGAATTATAACTTTTGTTTTAATATAAATTTACTTTCAATTTATGTTCATTTTTAATTGGTATTATTTACAAATATTGCAAGAATGTGAAAACTGATAATTGATAAAATAACTGTTTGCATATCAGATTCACTTGTCGCTCTATTGCAAGCATCAGCATCATCACAGCTCTGGAGGCATCCTCGAACATATCTGCAAGAACGGTAACTTCATTTTATATAGTTCTGATGAGATTTTCATAATTTATGTTGTTCAGTGTGTCAAGTATGTTTATCATTGTTCAAGGAGCAATGTAATAAATATTAATGTAGATTTTTGTGGCCTGCATACGCATTTTTTTTGCATAATTGAGTTTGCATTTCTGAGGAGTGCTTGGGATATGTTATGTCAGGAACATTAAGGTTAGGCGTCAGGGTAATGGATGTTTGGTTAAGTTAGGAATGTTTAGGTTAGTTTAGAGATTGTTGAGTTAGTGTTATGGATGATTGGGGATATTTCGGTTAAGTTGAGAATATATGAGAATGATATTCATTTTAATTACCTTGAGTTTCTTATTTTTGTGTTTTTCCAATTAAAAAGTCTTACACCCCTTAGTGGTCGAAGGTCTAACCTCAAGAATACCTGAGCTTCTATCTGGGCGTTAGGGGATAATACATGCAAAAATGTGGCCTATCTGTCATTTGTGTGAACAGATGAAGGTTAAAAGAGTGCTTCAAAAGTGTAGCATAATTCATACGTACAAGTTTTACAAAGGTAATGTCATTGAGCATGAGACTCTTAGGAATAGGAAACTGTTGAAGCAGATTAACACTTACCTATCCTCAAAATAAAATCCACCACAGTGGGACATTCTAATAATTTCTGTGTCAGTAGTCAGTGTCCCGCTATCCAGTGCACATCCTCGAATTGTTATTGTGTCTCCATTGTCATCTAAACAAAACCCAACTTGTATAATTTGCATTCATTAAAAACAAATATTGTAATATGTTGTAAGTATATGTTTGCAATTCATTCAATAGAATTAAATGTAAAGGGGTTGTGGAGACCATATTAAAATGTAACGTAGCATCACATGAATTTTTTATTTCCTCGGCCTGTCATGCTTTTGTTCCTTCACTGAGATATTCATATTCTTTATAACTATAAATCTATTTTTATCCTTCATGCAAAGCACGTCAACTACAATTTTAAACTAAAAGTAAATTTCAACGTACGAGAGTAACGGGGCTAACTAACTCAAAGGGGTGATAGGGGAAAAATACCTCTGTAAGTGCAGTGTGTACCTGAACGAAATAAGTGCCAGAGGCTCAATGGTACTTGTAACAGTTAGTTGTTGGCTGCTATGACCTAAATGTCTTTTGAAACATTTTCATATAAAATTATCCCCAGATTATAAAATAAAATTGTTCACACATTACTTATATTACTTAGCTTTGACTCACCATAAACTCCACTCAGTTTTATACAAGCTGTAGCTGGGAAAAGTCCATTCCTTCCTTTCCTCCCTCCTAAACATGGTGATTCAAGAATCTCTAGCGTGTAATTGTTGTGAAACGGATCATCGCAGGCCTTATAATTTCCGTTGAGCGAGACACATTTGAAGCATTCTATCGCCACACCTGAAAACAAGTGGCTTGTTTATTATAAAATCCTTCCCTCACTTGAAAAGAATTTGTAACTTTATAAATGTGTTTAAAAAAAATAAATTGAGAATTATACCTGGATCGAGGTTTGTAGCCAATACAAATATTAAGATTCCAAACAACAAAAATTGTTTGTGCATATTGTTTTGTATAATGAAAACTGCAATAGAAAGAAAGAATTCACAAATATTTTCTTTAAACATATAACGTCATTTCTTAATATAAAATTTAAATTAATTATTTCTGAAATACACACCTTTAATTTGGTCCTTTCAGTTTTAAAACTGCCTTCATTCATTTGATTTTTTCTATCATTTCAATGTTTATTTTAGAATGAATTTGCCATTTATGTCTAACTGAATATTAATAGAAAATGGCCATATTTTCGAAATTGGTACTCTACTCGAAAAGTGCATTTACTTAAGTTCTAATTTATGCATGTACTATCCTAAAACAAAATTATAATTAAAAATTAACCTTTGAACTAAGTTTAGTGATTAATAGTTGTCAGCGTTTACAAAATATTAGCCCCTACTTTCCATTATTTTCTGTTTAGTCTACAAATTTTGATTGCTCGGATTAGGTTAGGTTAGTGATGAGTGGTTAGGTTGTGAGGGTTGTTAGGAACAAATAGATTGTCCCATCTTTTTGTGTTATTTTCTGTTTGGCCTACAAATTGAACATTTGTACACTGCCCCATTATTACTCATTTCTAGATTTTTCTTGTGTATTTTGATCTTGCTTGCTCATTGCTTAACATTTCTTTGTGCCCATGTTAAGTTATACTTTCCCATATTTCAGATGCAATCATTGATTAATGTATGTTATACTTGTACATGTTAATGCTTTTAGTGGCAGTGACCAGTATAGAGCCTTATCACCCTAATTTTATAAAATTTAGACCTATTTCCAAGAAGGTTCAGTTAAAAAAACACCTATATTGTGATAGTATAAAACGATAATCTGTGGAACAGGTTAAGTCATTTGATTGTTGTATTTATCAATTGCCCTGGTTTTGATTCTTAATGTTACACTTTGAGCCCTTCAATAATTTATTGTAGGATGTAAAGCCTGTTTTAAATACAACTTCACTTAGCAGGTATCAAAAATGAAAATATTGATAATAATGCATAGTTCACTATGGAAAGTATCAACTTTACTAGTCAAACTGCCAAAATGAGTTCTAAACTTAATTTTTTATGTACACAAAATCATTGTGCCATTGTAATTTTCTGTTCTTTCAGCTGGATTGATTTGACATTCTGGCTGTTAAATTTGTAGTTATATACGAAAGGCAAAAAAGTGGCCACCCTTAATATTTTTAATTAAATCTTAGACACTCCAACATTCCATCTCACAACAATATTTGGTCCGTTTGAAAGGATTAGAGTTCAATAAAACACAGAGAAAATTTCCCATCTGTGTTTACAATTAGATTTTGTTAATAAATCTTTAAATAGTTTTCTTCTTTGTTGGTTTTTCTGTAAAGTTTCTTTCTAACATTCCGGTGGTTTGATTTTTTGACCATTTTTAAGTTTCAAATTTATGTAGTGGTTTTAAGTGATACAGATTCGGCTAGAATCATAGCATTGTTGGAAGATGGACGAAATCAAGCGTATATGACCAAGGTGCTTAACATTCTCAGAACAACTAGCCCGAGGGCCTTCCTTTGCTATCAAGATACTGGAGTAAAAATAATTATATATAGGTAAATAAATATATAATATAAAATAATTAAAACCTACACCAATTTAACTTACATTCTGCATTAACAATTCTTTATAATTGATAAAAGAGTTAAAGAACATAAATATTCTTAACAACTGTTTTAGTGTTGTTTGATTAAAGTGGGTAAAGAATGTATTAAATTAATAAAACAAAATGGAGTATGTACTATTAACGAATTTGTAAAAACTGATATAATAGACCTCTTAAATATACATCTACTACCTAATTATTCTAAATTTAATATTAAATTTTATGAAATGAAAGGGTTACCAATGTGGTCTCTATTATACCCACTTTGTGCGGAAATATTCATGGACAACTGAAAAAATCCTTTTCAAATCAAATAACAAATTCATTAAAATTGTCCTTGTTTGGAAACGCTTTGTAGACGATTTTATGTAATGGTAGGGAACACTAGAGGATCTAAAAGAATTCCTGCGATTAATTAATTATTTACACCTTAGTATAAATTTTACATTGGAAATTAATATAGATGGTTGTTTAAATTTTTTAGACTTAAAACTGTCCATAATAAATAACCAAATTGTAATAGACTTATATAGAAAACCCACATCTACAAACACTATGATTCCTTCACCTTCCTATTCATGTACCCAAAAAACTGCTGGATTCATTTGGCTGATAGACCATTTGTTGAAACTTCCATTAACACCTGCTAATTATAAAAAATAATTACAAACAATTAAAACCTTAGCTAAAAACAATGGATATCAAGAAATATTTATCAATAGGTTGCTAGTAAAAAGAATTCAAAAATTAAAAAGAAACGACAATCAGACTCAGCCACCCCACCTAAAATGAATCTTTGTTTTCGTTGCTTGCAGCATTGGGGAACTATCAGAAAAAGTAGGTAAAATTCCTAAATAAGAGTAACTTTGTGGTGTGTGTCCACTTTGAAACTTCCTCTTAAAACCTAAAGACAAGATTGAAAACTTGTCAAAAAGTGGAGTTTAAAAACTTAATTGTAATGATTGTTATATTAAATATATAGGACAAAGTGCCAGAAAAATTAAAAAAGGAGTGAAAGAACATTTGTCTAAATTGAACAAATTTTCTGAATTTGAATTCAACTTGAGTTGAAGGACCATCTAAATGAAACTAAACACAATTTCAATTCAAATTTAAATATATTGTTATACAATTTCAACAAAGGGAGGGAACTAGATTTGTTTAAGAAATTTGAAATTAAAAAATGTAAAATTAAACATGGAGATAAATGCATAAATAATATAACAGATTTTGATTTACCTCCTATTTTAAACAAGTACCCAAATAATATTTCACATAAAAATTAATCACTAATTTAAAATTATTTTCTTACAGTATTTATTATGACAATATTTAGTTGTGTTATAATTCGCATTTTTTGTATGCTCAAAATTAAGCTGCATCAAAAACCAGCTTCTCATTGGAATGTCACGTTGGCAGTGGATCGGCGGCGGGTTCACTCTTACAATTCATATTGTGAGACATGCTTGTAACTCCTTCAAACTTATGATGAGAATTTAATGCTCAAAATTCAGATCAATGTAAACAACAAATTTGTGAGTAGAACTATCATTTACAAAAAGGGAATCTACATATTCAACCCACCTTCATCATTTCTATTTTCTTCCCTTCATTGAAAAACAGAGAATTGTAACCTAACCTAATCCTAACAGTATATAGCTAAATCTAACTTATTCCTAACCCTACCTGACTGATTTGTCCTTAACTCCATTCCAACTTAACTTAACCTATTTCTAACTCTACCTAATCTAACAGTAACCGAAAATAACACAACTTGGCACCAAAGGTTTTTATTTGTCCTTATTTAAAAAACATGGACCAAAAAAACTTTTTAGTTGTTTTCTTTGTTGCATAAAGAGAGAGGAGATAAGTCATTATGCAAACGGATTGTTTAAATTAGGCAGACTTATATGAAAATCCAGTGTAATTACCCATTTTCTTACTTGCTTAATTATTCGTTATTACATTAAATTTTATAATGCATATCGCTGCATCATGGCATTATTAGTCTAATTTACTGACCTCGTAGACTCAGGTCTTCTCACTATTATTCATATATTGCCAATTTTCAAATTCCTTACCTTCGGATACATTAATGTAGAATTAATATTAATGGATTAAATAAGTGACACACCTGATAATGAAGTCTAGACAAGCCCTTCACAAATAATCGTATAATCTGTGCCACCTCATCAACCGACATTCATGAAGTTTGATTGAACTGTGAATATTTAAAAACCAATTTGAACATTGAATTTCAACATTTCACATATGTTAATGTGGTAGTTTTCTGTAATTTTCAATCATTAATTAATAAAAGCTGGTGCCTTAGTCTCACTTACTTAAACATTTTCTAATATGGCCAGTTTATTATTGTATGCATTTTTTAAATGGAAGTTTTTAAACACTTCACAGCTCAAAACTCTATAAAATTCAATTTTTAATAGATTAATTCAATTGTGGAGAAGTGTATTCATTCTGTTTTCTTTTGTCACTAAACTTTAAAATTTATATTACACAGAGTACCAACGTACTAGTAAAGTTTCTCAAAAACTACTAAACCTAGAAAAAAAATTAAAATTTCTTTTTATAGCATATGCTCTACTTTAAATTGTATAAATGGATCAGCGATGTGGACTGCAGAATGGATTAATGGTAATCCACTATTGTTTTTGTTTGATAAAGAGGTATTTTTTTAAAACATTGTCTAAGTCCTAAATTTTTTTTTAATACATCGTTAGATTATAGTTTCATAACTAAGGACTTTTAACAGAGAGTCCATGTGAACTCCAGAACCCTTATATATATATATAGATATATATTTTTTTTTTTTTTGTAAGTTTGCCTTAAGGAAGGCAAAATATATATGCCGAAAGCTTGGCAAACTTATAAAAGTTTTGTTCATTGAACCAGCTCATCCACTTTTACAAGTCACAATTGTTGGTCGATAACTGCCTCTACTTCAAATGGCAACCTTCATTTTCATTTGCAGATTCGTCTAAGTTCAGAAAAAATTAAATAACCCAAAAATAACAGTAAAATTAGATACTGCAAAAACTTCACAATTATTTTTTTAATCAAGAATGAATTGTTGTTTAGCTTTTTAATGTTGTTTTTTTCTATGGTTCCGTTAGGTTAGTTAGGGTTAGGGTTATCAAAAGGATTAGGTTTGGTAGGTAGGGTTAAGTTTATAAAACATAGTGCATATAAATTTCTTTCAAGTTTGTCATTGGTATAAAATTTTCATAAACTTAATTTTTTAAGTATGATTAAGGAAAATTTTCTAATGGGAAGTTTCAGGAGTATAGTCCAAATAGAAAAGCTAAATGAAAATGCATTGCATATAAAAGATCAGGGATGAGATAAACTGATTTACACAGTTAATAAATTTAAACATCTACTGACAATATTAAAAATTATGGTTTCAACCTACCTAAATGAATTTATGATTGGATTTGTGGTAGATCTCATTTAAGAGAAATTAATTTTTAATATTGCATTTAATATTGTTTAATATAATAGATGTTTAAATTTATTAATCATGTAAATCATTAGAAATAATTTCAAAGTCCTGTTGACTTCCTCGAAAACTTGATGAAACAACTGAGTATTTTTTATTCTTTCAAATTCACCTTAGACCTGATTGTTTATATACAATTATAATATTACGGCTGATCAATCAAATTTTTTTTAGTATATGATTTAACAGTTAGTTTCATACATCGTAACGAAACATTTAACTATTTTTTTAATAAAAAAATTTGTTTTCTATGTTGAATGGTTTTTGAGAAAAACAAGTAGATAGATAAAACAACCAGCAGCTTAGGATCAACAACGCTTTTTTACTAATACATACTAATAATTTGGGATTCTTTGATTATTTTTTTCTTCAATTAAAGGTACTGAAACATTTTTATATATTTTTACTCAATGAACTCATTAACTGGCTGAACTCACTAACATTATATCACTGTATGAAAAGAGCAGTTCCTCTGTGTTTTTTTTCCCACAAAATCAGTTTTTGGTTACTTTGAGTTAGGGACAGGTAAGGTTAAGTAGGGATATGTTAGGATTATTTTGTGAATCGGTTTTCGCTGTTTCAAAAATCGAATGTACTTGATAAATCTTCAAACGAAAATGTCGGTTAGGGATTGAAAAAACAAACTAATCATTGAAGTTCTTAGAATAGAGCTTATGTTAAAAAAAAACTTTATTTATTTATTTTATTTATTTTTTTTATTTAAAGGCTGAGTAGTTAACAGGCAATACATTTTTGTTCTTTTGTTATTTTTTTCTCTTCAATCACAGTCACTGAAATATTTACGAACCAATAATATACTAACGAATTATTATTCCAACTAACCAATTATATTATCATATGAAGAGGGCGTTTTCTCATAGTGTTTTTTTTTAAGCCAAAATCGATTTTCAGTCAAAATGGGTTAGGTTAGGTAGGGTTAGGATTAGGAACAGATCAGGCAGACAGTTTTTACCATGCCGTAAATTGTTCATATCAGTTTTTTGTGTTTTTTACTAAATAATTATTATTAAATATTATATCTTAAGTCTTCTCACAGTGTTTTTTATTTTATTAAAAGAACGGTAACGCTGGGCTAGGGACGATAATTACGAGCCAGGTTAGGTCATACACAATTAATTGGTCTCCTGTGCAGCGTAGAAAATATGCATTTCACTCTCCCTAGAAATTTTCCAAAACTAATAGATTTGATGAATCTTCAAATTAAAATGTGTGCTACCATTTGAAAAAACAAATATTCCCTTTTTTTATTTTTTGAGAAATTGAGAAAAAAACTGTTATTAATTGCAGTGTTAAAAGTAGAGCATTGCTTCAAAAATATTTTTAATTTTTTTTAGGTTTAGTTTTTGAGAAAATCATGGTGATACTATCAAGACACCCTCCATGTCGAATGAATGAATGAAAATTAAACTTTATTCTGGGACCCCCCCCCCTTATATAATTAATTATGAACACAACGTATTTACAAAATTTACAAAGATTCAAGCCTGATAAGACTATACACATATGTCTATTTATAAAATTATATACTTACAAAATGAGTCTTTCCTATTGGAATTAAACTAAAAAAAGGAAATTAAAAATCTTCGGTGCCAAGTAAGGTAATCAAAGAAACAGGACAAATGTGGATAGTGATAGGTCATTCCTTGAAAACGCTGACCTCAATAGTTTTGTGTTTAAGAAGATAAAGGTAAGTGTATAAAGGAGATATATAAAGGAGCTGAGGGGAATTGGAATATACATTCGGCTCTTGTTAATTAGAAACCTGACAATTCGAATTTCTTCATAATACAAACAACTCAGCAGGTCACTAAGGTAAAGCGAAAAAATTCTGTATATTTTGATACACTCGACAGTACGAAATATATTTCGTAACAAGAGGGGGGAAAAAAGCATTCTATAAATCGAAATGGAGCCACTTCCACTTTTATAATTCAAATTTTTCTTTGTCATATTTCTCTAAATTCCACGTATTGTTTACTCCCTTGCTTTGTAAAGTTACTTCTAATTTTCTCTACTTTGTATATTCGCCGATCAGTGTTTTGTCAATGTGTTCTCAGAATTGGTCAGTGGTTACTTGGAAAAATCAGATAAAGGACGCCAGGTCACATTGAAACATAAACCGATTCATGAATTTTTTAATAATAACAATGTTGATCTATTTCAGCTTTTTCATTATTTTACGAGGTTTTATAGATGCACAATAATTCACATGAAAAATGCATATGAACTTTTAATCTTTTTTCCCCTTCCTCTTGATAATTCGAACTGCTGAAAATTCGAATTATTTTTGTGGTCCCTTGGGTTCCGAATTATCGAGAATCGACTAGAACCTCCTCGCCAAGGAAGTATTGGCTGCTGTAGTAAGGGCCACCGCTTCAAGACTTTAGTCAGTCACTACTAAATTAGTCACCTGGGAAATTTTTATGAAACCACGTACAAAACAATTCTTTAGACGTTTAAACTTATCTTTTAAGCTCCCCCGTTGAGTACAAAATCAAAAACGGGGTTGAACAAGGGAGGAAATTAAGAGCACGTGCTTTAGAGGGGAAGGTGGCACGATGAAACTGAAGAATCGTCGGGAATTCTGTGACCTTTAGGACTTCCAGGATCAAGGAAAATCCAGCCGATCGGAAATAAGTGATTGTTGCAAGGATGAAAGGAATGAAGGAAGAATCCAAATCGTACAGGGCAAAGGTCTCATGAACGCATATTTACATAATAATATTCCAGATTTATGTCAAAAACAAATCATCATATGTCACATCAAACAGTGTCGGAACAAACATGTAATTGATCCTATTTAGAGTTTATTATATACATTTTTCAAATTTATATTGTATAAAAAGACCAATCAACTTAAAAACCTGCAAAGATATAATACACATGAGAACAGTCTGTCATGGTCAGAAAATTTGTCAGACAAATTTATTTCCAAGATTTTGGAAACTATATATACATATTTACAGGTAATCTTTGCTTGTACAAAGCTGTATGTACAATATTTGTGACATGATACAAAAGCGATTGCTGATTTTAAAATCAAGTTTTAATCAGTGGAGGGGGTGAAAAGCCAAAAAGCTTAAACATTTTTTGTGAAACTTATAAACAAGTTGAACAAAACAAAAAAGGTTTATAACTGAAAATTGTTTAAGTTTCAAGTTGGTTTTGAAAGATTACGGTACAACTGATGAATGAAGCGAAAATCATCATAGAATTTATTTTAATCGCTATGATTCTATGTTTTTGCTTGTGTTTGTAAAAGCTGGGTCTGAAATTAGCTTTAAGTCGCACGCGATATCGAACCGCGAATCGATAAACAGTATTCAGCATGTGGTAGAGGTAAAATCAATAAAACAAGAAAAACAAGACAGAGAAAATAGAAAGCAGTCTGTCTTAGCTTTGCTGTTAAAGTTAAGGTTTTCAAAACTTTGTTGTCTGTTAATCAGACAAATAAAATATAATAAAAAAAAAAAATAAAATTAAAAAAAGAAGCGGTGGGTTGGGCAGGAAAATAGTAACAAATGTGTCAATATGGATCAAATTAAACTAGCGTTTCCAGGTAGAAAACATTTATTGTTTTATTCTTATAAAAAAAATTAGATTACATAATTTTTAAAAAAGTAAAAAGCGAGAAAAAACATAGATTAAAAAATCATGTCAGGATCACAATGATATTGATATCTTTGAATATTTAAGGCTGTTCAGGAATATAATATACAATTTTAATAATGGTCAATGTACAAAACAGCCGCATTCTATTTTTAATTTTAATATTGATTTATAATCTACATTATCATGCTTTTTAAATGGTTAAAAATTAAAAAAAAAAAAAAACTACTGTTCTGTGTGTGTTATAATCGTGTATTGGCAAGACAGTGCTCATCTGTGCTCTTAATTTTTTTGTCTTTTCACCCCAACGGCTACTTACCGAAGAACAACAATATCCCATATTTTAAGACGATTGAAACAAATTTAAAAAAACAAAGAAAAGAGAAAAGGATCGAGGTTGATAACAAGGCCTAACATTCGTTGTCCGTATACGGAAAGGCACAGATATAAGACACTTCGAGTTGAGACCCTACAGACGAAGGGGTTGTTCTAACGGCATTGGAGATGTCACTCCCGTGGGGGTGGAATATATATGCGCTTGCGTTAATCCTTTTCCACCTCTTCCCAACCCCCGAAACCAGATCAAATGAGTTCACCTCACAAGATTATGAGGTCACACCCAACCCTTTTCTATTGATTGATACTACACTTTGTTACATCTTTTTTACCCCCTGAGATCTCTTTTCAAACAATACTCCCGTATACACGGACGTCAATACCGCTTTTCTTCTTCGTATAAAACTATCGCCACCTTTAATAATAATTGATAACTAAAACATTATAATTTATTATATTTTTATCATGTCATATCACTAGTCTTCCGTCCTCCCGGGGGACACGTCTTGAAAGACCAGGGAGAGCAGGTCTATGGGCCAATGCCGTTTAAGCCGATGTGAATGGTTCATGGTATGGGAGTAGTGGAAAGGTCTTGAGCAATATGGTTAGGAAAGATTGCGGAGGAACATCAAAAAAACGCGAACGAATCAGATCTTCAAGGAAGAGAATTTTTAGTGGGGTGAAAACAGATGAGAAGCAGTTGAGAGCTTGGAAAATTCTTTTGACTACTTTTGCTAAAACGGAATGGATATTGGATGTATCGTGGATGGGCTTACTAAAATTTCTAGCAGACGTCATCTTAAAAAAAATTGCTCTAGTCCATTATAAACCTCGTGCTGGGGAAATCTCCTATAACATGGATTGTAAACACACCCCACCCATCTGACAGAAAGTGTAAACAAAGGTAAGGCAGTTATCTGCGACTTTACCCTGCTTCGATTTTGTTGTTAGTCAATAGACATCTGAACAAAATGGTGGTCAAGCCAATTCTGTTGCATTATCGTGTAGTGACTGCCATTGTATTTCGAAATTTACATCCGGCGTCATCTTAATAAGAAAATGCTCTAGTCCATTATAAACCTCGTGCTGGGGAAATCTCCTATAACATGGATTGTAAACACACCCGACAGAAAGTATAAACAGTGGTAAGACAGTTATCTGCAACTTTTCCCTGCTTCGATTTTGTTTTGATTCAATAAACATCTGAACAAAATGGTGGTCAAACCAAATGTTCCAATCATCGTTTAGTGCCTGCCATTGTCTTTCGAAAGTTTATACCAGGCATCATCTTAATTCAACGATGATTCTGCCTTCCAAACAGCGGCCAATGAGAATGCAACACTATTTAAACATGGGCTCAACTGGCTTATGTGGGACTAGTAGAGTTCTCATCGTTAATAGAAAAAGCAACAAACAGAAGCCACAATCCTGCTGGCAGCGGTAATTCTCAACTTGGCAAAACTAGCAAAAATGTGCAATTGTCTCATAGAGCAGTCAAACTAGACATTCCTCACGATCGAAATAGCATCTTTGAATTATCCAAAGATGAAAAGTAGCCTAATTGGTTTGATGTTGGGTTATCGGCAACACCTCACACTGACTTGGCTCACAGTTGCCTGAGGCTTTACACTTCGTACTTTGACATTTGATCTAGCTTCCATACAATTCTCTGGTTCTCACAACAGCGCACAGCACTGTACAAAGTCAACATGGCGCATCACCTGCCTCGAGAGTCCACTGCACTCAATAGATCCACTACAATACAACCCTGCCAAGAAAAGATGACCTTTTGGTTTCACCAAATGAACACTCGACTGTACATTCACAGACCTACAAAGCAAGAATTTTCCAAAATACATTTAAAAAAATAGTGACTTCACTCTTTCTGACTACTGTTTCTTCAATCAATGGCCCACTCCTTCAGCCCAGAAAATGCTTCCTACATCGGAAGAACAAAAGTAGAAGATTATAAGATTTTATTCCATCAAAATTTAATAATGATGATGAGTATATAGGAAGAGGGCTTTACTACTTTCCTGGTATTTTAGTCTATTCAATTGACCTTATTTTAAGAATTACATAGAAAGTTATTGGCCCTTGGGGAAATTCTTTTCCTGGGCCATCTTGGCACCCTAGGTTATGTATGTCCTACGAGCCTTTTACATCGAAAAAGACAAAATTTTTTTTTGGTGTTTTGTGTTTTTCTTGAAAAATACGTGTCCAACAAGCCTTTGATATCAGAAAAGACTATAAAAAAATTTTCGATTTTTTTTGGTTTTTTGCTTTTTTCTTGAAAAACAAAAAAAAACGTAAAAAACCTGTCCTACGAGCCTTTTACATGGAAAAAGACAATAAAATTTTTTTCGATTTTTTTGGGTTTTCTTGGAAAAAAAAACGTGTCCTATGTGCCTAATTTCTTTTCTAATCGACTCAGCAGGTCGATTTACATCGAAAAAGACAATACTTTTTTTTTCGATTTTTTGGGGAACAGTAGCTCTTAGTGAACGGTAAGTGAATCATGTATCTTAGTGAATTGTGAATTATAAGTGAACATTTAGTGAATCATAGCTTTTAGTGTCTTATAAGTGAACTGTACTTCTTAGTGAATATAAGTGAACCGTAGCTCTTAGTGAACGGTGAGTGAACCATAGCTCTTAGTGAATTATAAATGACCTGTAGATCTTAGGAATGGTGAACTATAAGTGAATCATTGTTCTTAATGAACGGAAAGTGAATCATACCTCTTAGTGAAATATAGCACTCAGTGAATTATCAATTATCATTAGCTCTTCGTGAACTATCAATGAATTATACCTCTTGGTGTATTATGTTTTGTTGTTTATTAAACTGTCCAGTTTTTCATTTTCTATTTTGTGTTAATAAAACTTTTACCAAAATTCCTTGAAAAAAGTTAAAACGCTCTTTAAAATTTCTCAGCTTTTCTTTGTTTCTCAAAAATGCATGAACTACCTAATTCGTTCGAACCATGAAGGTAAATAAAACGATCTGTCCCGAAATAAGCAATTCCTTAAAGAGAACCCATTTCTAGGATTGTTGCAGATACGAAAAAAATCGATGTACCGCCAAATATTCGTATCGTGTCTCCCGAATTCATTTGAAAGCATCGATGAGTATCAACCTGCAACCTCCTTCCTTTGCAAGTTGTGTTTACAATTTACAACTTTGTCTTTTGTATCTGTAGTTATGTCAGGCGGTAAAGCTTGCGGCGTCGCCGTCTGCCGCAACAGTTATTACACGACGAGAGACAAGGAGGAGGCGGTGAGCTATTTCAGGTTCCCAAAGGACCCGAAGTTGAGAAAGTTGTGGGTGTCCGCTTGCCGCAGGAAGGACTCCATCAACCCCGAGACCTCCTGCGTCTGCTCGGACCACTTCTACCCGGAGGATTTCGTCAGAGACATGCGGGTCGAACTCGGTTTCGCCAAGAGGAAAAAACGTCTGAGACCTGGGTCCGTGCCGTCTCGCCGGCTCATCCTCAACAAGGGCCTGACGAATGAGCAACCGACTAAGGTATAAACTGACGAACTCAAGCTCTGTTCGTTTACTTTTAGAAAACAAGAAAGAAAGAATTAAAAAAAAAAAAAAAATAACGTCTGAAAAAGGGCCTCGCAGATCAGGGACAAATCCATGCCACATTAAAAAAACTGGAATCTTAGGTAACTGAAGAACTCAATAAATACCTCACAATACAGTTTCCAGTTTTACTACTTAAAGGACATATGGGATATTAAGGTCATTGTGAATGGTCAGATGAGATACATAGAAAGGAGCATTGACGATGGATACATTGGAGGTTGGAGCATTTTGTTGATCCCCAAAGTTTTATACTGTATGCCCAATTTTTTTTCTGACATTCAGTCAATGTCATTTTGTTGGTGAGAACTCTCGCCACCCCAACAATCTGCGCCGACCCCCACAGGACAGTACCACATACACTCACCACAAATTCGGGTATACACCTAATTTGGTAGCAAAAAGCCTTGGATGTGGTTCAACCTAAGGTTCGCCGTATCCTGACTAGTGGGGATGGATGCCCGGGGTTCAACAAAACTATTCACCGAGCAACAATATTTGGTGCACGCTGTGCTCGGATTATTGTCAGTTTTATTGTCCACTTCAAAGTGCACAGCACTCAAAGCATACCTACTTTCGGGAATCAACTGTAACTGTACATACCTTTAACCAACTGTCAACTGTTATCAAAATAAACAGTAAGTGTATACTTCTCTATTTTATGCTATTTATTTTTCATTAATAAACGATTCCTTACTAGTATAGATGTGTTGTGTTTTATTTGGTCGTTTCAGGTTAAACCCTAAGGGCTGTGTCACCGTACTTGATTAAATATCACACAGATAAAATGAATAAGAAAGATAAAAACAAACGTGGATTTAAATAAACAAAATATGCATTAATATCTTTTATTGTAGAGGTAACTTAAAAACTATCATACAAAAATTAACATAACGATATAACAAACAAACTCGATTTTTTAACTTATTGTTAGACAATTTACTGATTTAATTATAAATTAATGTTGCAACATTCAGTACCTTTGGTTGTGGACAAGTGAGCTAGTTAGCTTAAAAAGGATGAGCTTCCTTACACAAACGGGACAGGAACTAGCAGACGATTGTACGATATATTTTCTTTTGCTTTTTACTTTCACCATATTACCCTTCATGCGAACAGTACTCACGACTCATGACATTTCATCAGTATTCTGACTGATTTAAAAAAAAGAAAGATGATTCAACTAATGGCATCCTTTAGAATGTGCCTTAAAAAAATCAAGGAGAGTGTCAAAAAGCGGGTCAGGTGTCGATAGTTTAGTGATACCATCTACCATTTCCTGTTCTTACTTTTTTTCTCAATTAGTTTGTAGCCACTGTACAAAACAGTAACTGCAGCTGCTGCATTAATAGTTTCACTGTTGTCCATCACGATTTGTAGTAAGTTGAGGACTCGCATAGAACTTGGCAAATGCGTATTTGCTGTTTCTGCAACTAGGAGGTATAAACCCCACTTGTATGTACATAAGCATGCTATTTGGCAAATGCCAAGACAAGCATTTTGAGATTTTGCAAACATTTGGCGATTACTGCATGTCTGAAGCTACCTTTACATGGCAACAGATGCCCCTGGAAAAGTCCACATCCTCCCTGCTTCCCAGGGACCATTGGCCCTTTGCATGTGGAGCACCCCCGGAGACAACCCAAGCCAGCCAACACAGTACCCCCAGAATGACCCAGGCTCCTCACCTCTCAATAGCTATTAATTGGTATTTAGACCTTCACTTTATTTTTATTTAAAAATTCGAACAATATTCTAAACACCATTTCATTTTCCAAACCTATAAGGCTATTAAAATTGAAGGGCTTCTACCCCTTTGCAACTGAAGATATGGAATTTCTTGCAACTTCGTACTCTGGACAATCAAACAAAATATTTTGTTGACTCAGGTTCATCATATGTTTCTCAATTTGGGGGAGGTCTTAAACAAACTCGATTCAGATAAGCTCCATGTATTGCAGTGATTCAATCTAATTCTAATAATCGAAGAAGTCTCATTGTGAAAATCCAAGGAATAGGATGGGGTTCGGGAATCAAAACTTAAAAAAAAGTACCTGTCTTATCACTATTGAACCACTTTTTCCATTTTCCATTGCCAATTTTTTAGTTAATACCCTCCTTATATCAGATTTGGGTATTTTGATGTTCTGAACTTCCTGATGTAGCTTCCTTTGCCAACGTATCAAGAACCACATCATGCACCATTCCACAGTGACCGTGACACCAACCAAATGCTACTTGTTTATTTTTTTTCATTCTTGTTTTTAAATCTAGGTCATATGTTTTGCCAACTATTTCCATCACCAGGTAATCACGTTTACCCTTAGGAGAAAAATTTTGGATTTGGGAAACTAAGCTTTTGCTATCTGCAATATACACGACATTTGAAAAATGGCAAAAAGGAGGGAAAATTCAAAAGGTGCGGTTGAGATGGGAAGTTGGTGTCTGAGTGGACCGAGGTCACGATAGCTCAAGTGGTAGAGCAGCGGCGTATCAAGCCAAAGATCGTGGGTTCGATTCCCGCTCGTGCCATTGTCTTTTTATCTCAACTAAAAACCTTAATTAATTGCTTCTAAATAAAGTGTAGATGGTGTACTAATAGGTTTATGGTAGTCAAGTTGGTAAACCAGGTGGAGCTGATGTTTATACATTGAAAATATATTGGCACATACTGACAAAGGCAGGCACTTACTATTGGAAAGGTTTTTTTTTCTCCAATAACTTTGTCTGAACCAACTCCATCAATGCTGAAATTTTTAGCAAAAGGGCATTCTCATAATGTTGTAAATTTAGTAATTTATTTGTACTAATTTTTGTAATCTAATTGCTGGAGAAGGCTCCCCCACTTCCACAGAAAGAACTACCCTAGGTGCGCTTTGTAGCCCCCAAGTGGGTCTCAAAGTAGTTACATAAATGATTAGTTTATTTTGTAAAGTCAGTTTCGATCGTTTATAAGAAGTCTGAAACGTCTTTTGAGTCATGTGCTAGGATTCCAGGTAAGTCTTTTGTAATCTATAGCCCAAGGTAATGGACTACATTAGCGGGTGGGAGAGGGATACTATGGTGGTAGATGGGAGCAGTGGTTATTTTCCGAAGGGTGAAAGTGACATGTTGAGATTTTATGTTTATTGTTATCTTCCACTGCTTGAACCTCTGCTCAAGGGATGTGACATGGCTTTGCAGGTTTCTGGTTGAAATGACAGTGTCTTTATGGGAGCAAAGGATGGCGGCATTAGGTAGTAGAGTAGGAATGTCTGCAGTTTATACCATGTAGAATATGGGTCCTAATACTAACTTGTGGTACCCCTGCATCTGTACGATAACCGGCTGATAGAGAGAGGCCACTGATGACTTGAAAGTTCTGTCGGTTAGGTAGGATTTTAGGATCGGGTTGTAAGTAAAAGGGAAGACTTAAATTCCCAGAGGAGCCCTGAGTGCCATACCGGATCAAAGGCTTGGTTCACATATAGGAATACATTGGAGCAGCACTCCTTTCCATTTATCCTAAATTAGAATAATAACAATATAGACTATCGTTATATATAAAATATTTATTGTATGTTTTATAAAGATTAATGTTTACTTCAAAAATTGTATATTGTAATATGTAAATTAGATTTAGTTATACTAGAAATAAACATTAGCAAGGTAAAAAATATCAATACTTCTAAAGTTTCTGCACTGTCTTAATTAGTTTTTAATAATATATTTATAATTTAACCATATTTCAGCCATGCACTGAAGGATGTGCAGGAGCAGACGATGACAATTTTTATCCACCATCGGCTTTTGCTGATAAACCGACATCTGACCTTTCTTCTGCTTCTGCTTCAAATCAGTCACAAGAAGATTATGAAACTTTGTTGGTTGAACATCAACGACTGAAAGAAGAATTCGATGTAGGTTTCAGAATTGTACACAGTAAAAGATAGAAGGCACAGTTGTGTTCCTGTTTTAAATTTTTAGTCAATTTTTGAAAATTCTATTTGAATTAGTTTGAATTTCAAAAATATTCATTGGACTTGATCTTTGTAAACCTTTTTTAAAAATCTTATACAAACAATTCTATATGCAATGAAATTGGAAGAATTCAGGGAGGAATCCATTTTTTTTCAAGTCTTTACCAATTGTTGAAGTAATCATACTAATTAACCAAATTTATAAATAATTAATTATTAAATGATTTTTATTTCAGGAATTTAAAAAAGTGGCATCTCTAGAGATTAAAAAATTAAAACTCAAATTAAGAAGAAAAAATAAGCACACAGATGGTCGAACGAGAACCATTCTTGAAAAACCATTTGACAACACAATTGATCTACTTCCTAAATTAAAAAAGGCCCAAAAAGACTGGAATTGTGTCTGCCATTCTTTGTCTTAGCTTACAAAATTAATATAAATTTTGTACGAGGTTTGTGAGGAAATTTTTAAATTCGTTTGGCTTGTTGAACAATGGTTTTTTAGGTGTATAGAAACTACTTGAGTCGAATTTTCCTGTGAATGTGTGTGTGGTGATTAGTTATTTTTATTTATGTTTATTTCATTGATATCAGATATTTAGATTCAGACAAGTAACTCCTTGAAGGATTGACGTCAAAGTTTATTTACTGGTAATTTTAATATTAAGTGTGAATTTTTTTAATATTATCACACCGTCTGATGAACGATAATAACTGTTTATTGCATTAGATGGTCCAATTTGACATTTATTCAGTCAAATAAAAAAGTAAAAAAAAAAAAAAAAAAAAAAAAAAAACGGTTTTGGATTTTCAAAAAAATAAAAGGTGAGTATTTCAAAAACATTTTCTGTTTTTTCTCTGTTTTGGGCTATTTCTCACCCATCATCAGGAAACCCTAACAAGAAACAGTACTAATTAGAAAAAATTATAGCATTCGAAAAATAAGATCATTTACATAGTTGTTAGGGTTTTCTGATGATTGGTGAGAAATTAGCCCGAAAAGTAGAGAAAAAAAGGAAAATGTTTTTGACAGAAACTACCCTTTTATTAAAAAATCAAAAACTACGTGTTTTTTTGGAATACACCCTAATGGTCTAAAAAACTCTTTTAGGAAGAATAAAAAAGAAAAAAAATCAACTGCAGGGAATCTCAATAATTAAAAAAAAATGCATTTTTTCCTATTTAGAATAATACACTTTCAATGCCGATTCAGCACCACAAGCTCCTGTGTTGTTCGGCTGTTTGTGTTCAGCTGGTCCAAAAAACTTATTTACCTACTATGCCATAATGTGAAAGAAAATATTTTTTATGCTATAAAGGAGGATATGCTTGGCTAAGAAAGGAGTTTTTTTTTCCTTTTTACTGCGGTCAAATAAGTACTCCAACCTTTACTTAAAAAAATGTCCTACAAAGCTAAGTACCTTGCCTTACAAAAGTTGCTAAGCCATCCAATTTTCGCCTGCTCATAGGAGTTCCTTCGCCTTCCTTATTTTTTGAGAGAATTATGGACATTTTACTTATTTTAGATGCTTAGTGTTTATGTCTTGGAGTTTTTATTTCTCATGCCAATTTCTATTTTTTTTCCTCCTGGGCTATTAGATTAATTTAGCCCTTCGGCTGGTCGGTCTGCCTATTCATTTCCTTCTAGAATTTCATGTCCTAGAACCTGAAGGTAACCTTGTTTTCTAAGGGCATTTAGGTTAATTTAAGCTCTCCTGTCTTAACTGATTGTAGATTCATGCATATTTTCATTTTCTTCTTCACTTTTTTTATTTATTTATTAAGAAGGCAGTGCATGAAGACCTATGATTTTGTTCGAATCTTGCTTGCTGAGAAGCCTTCCTTTTTGAAATTTTTGTAAATTTCCTTCCCTCCTACTTAGTTCTTTCGTCCATTTTCTAGCTTCCATCTTGGTAATGTCAGAAATTATGTTAATATGCTTGGTCTATAGTTCGGTTTAGTGAAAGGATGGTTCCTTTCAGAGAGCAAGTAGGCATGCTGACACGTATGTGTTGTTCTCAAGCACTGGTTTTGACCTTAGTTATGAATGAAACGTTGCTTGTCCCCCCACCAAAGAAATTGGTAAAAAGAAGGGAAAAAATAGCTTTAAAAGGTAAATTATCTATTTTATTTATGACATATTGGAAACTTGTGTAAATGTATGGCTGGTGACCTATCTAAGTTGTATATGCCCTTTATTTGGTAACATTATTCAATAAAACATATTTATCTATTGAGATTTTGTTTAGATTGTACTTTCCTGTTACTTACTCTTTAACCTTTTTCTCAGTTGCTTGAGAGGCTATTTGAAACACAGTCTAAAACGAAAATCAACACACAAGCTAAAAGGGAAAATTCTGTGAATCAGCATTACATCAAAAAGCTAGAAAAATAGAAGACTGACAACACTCTTTTTGAAATAATGGGCCCTAAGACGAATAGGAACTGATGAAACCTGCTGTAGTTGGATAAAATTTTTATCAAAGAGGAGAAAAGTAGTCTTCCATGTTCCATGAAAAAGAGGATGTCCACTATATCCGCCTATACTGTTAAACCTGGTTTGGGTATACCTTATATGCAAATTAAACAGCTAAATCTATGCAGATGGTATTGTCATATTGGTCAGGAGAAGATTTACCATAAAATAAAAATAAAACACTTAAAATGGTATAGTGTTTGTAACAGAGCATTAGGAATAAAAAAAACCCATGTTTTTATAATGAAGTGTTGCAGTTCAAAATTGAAGTTAAATGTACAGGGTTAATCCTTATCCTGCTACACTCAAATTGCTAAAATAGCAACAGGTCAGAGCTCTGAAGATTTCAAATTTCCAACTAGAATAGGACTGCATATGCTCATATAGCTGGATCGTACACAGGATGTACCAAGATAATTGGTCTTCAGTACATAAGCCCTAAATGACCACTATCAGTAAATAGCCTTACCAGTGTATCCCCCAGTTGGGGCACAGATACACCAGAACCTTTGTTTTCAAACCATCGGTATACCTCCTCGTTTCTCCTTTATACTATGTTGAGACCAAAACCAGGGTCATTTTTAGGTTATATTATTGATTGCTATATGCTAGAAATGTTTAGTACCCATCTTGGATTGTTTTTTGAGTCTGAGCTTGCACGTTTCCACTTGAACTGTTTAGTATTTCTAAAACAGTTCATAGGATTCTAAGCCACTGTGATGCTTTTCCTCTATTTGGTACAGAAGCTTTTGATTTGCATAAGGTCATATAGAACCAGATTCCACAACATAGGCTGAAGTCCTTGTGGATACCCTGCTCTACTACTTTTTCATGGAACAGGGAGGCCTTTACTCCTGCTAGTATGTTTTTCAGTTTGAAAAAGATCTTTCCGATTGTAGTCTCCTGTGACACATGCCTAGATTTACATATGTTTGTCCCTCACCGAAAATGGTAAACTGGCTACAGTTAAACAGGGCCATAAACCAGTTGGTATCTGAGAAGCACCTAAAAATATATTTGATAAACCACATTTGTAGGTTGGAGGAAGAAGCTGCCATTCAAAACTGCTCAATCGAATCATAGTCTATTGAATCAAGAAGACAGACGGATCAGAAATAGATACATAGATATAGAAGTGAGGTGGAAAGTTAGCTAGGAATCTAAAAGGACTTTGATAAGTTTCTCCCTGTATTGACCAAATTTAATCAAGGTTAGCCACTGTACCTTGACCCTTTGCTTTAAATATTTGTTTTTGGCAAAAAAAAAAAAAAAAAAAAAAAAGGAATGGACGCACGACCAAATTTTAAATTTAGGTTATAAAGTGAATGTAGTGAACTCAATGTGTCCTTCTTGACATCGAAAGATGTGTCTTTTGGTCTGAAGTGACCAAACTGTTTATTTCTCTGATTTGCAGTGGTTAGAAAAGTTGATGTGATGTGAAAGGGGAAAAATAAAAAATAGTAAAAGAATGGAAAATCTAAGATCACCCTCTTCTTTGCTACTAACGTACAGGTTAGATTACTTTAGGAAAAAATTACAGACCGGTTTCTGCAAGGTTTCCCAGGTGGCTGAGATGTTTTTAGCTTTCTGGTAAAACTGGAGGGTTCAGTATTATCCCTGTCGGCCAGATTTGACCCTCGCCGAAACAGGTAAACTGGTTACATAGACAGGGATATAAACCGGTTGGTATCTTAGAAAACACCTAAAAATATATTCCTACCTGGTATATAGGTTTGCCAGGAGGAAGAAACTGTCATCCAAAACCGCTCAATGGAGGCATAACCTATGGTGTTTCACAAGTAGTTTCAACAGCAGAGGGAAAATTACTCCTCCCTGCGGGCGTCCTCTTTTTCCTGGCACATGGCGTCATGCACGTTTCTACTTTTTAGCTTAATGTTTATCCATCTACAGCAGGTTTCATCAGTTTCTGTTTATCTTAGGGACCATTGTTTTAAAAGGAGTGTTGTCAAGGGAAAAATAGATGAATCATTATTGGTCATCTTTTAAAAAGTAATTAAATTTCACATTGAAGAAGTTGTTAACACGTAGTGTATCTTCAATTTTTATATTTACTGCCTCTGAAAGGAAAAAACGGGCGAACATCTTGTTTATAAAAATAAACCTTACACGTATTTAAAAGATCTTTAACCGTCCTGTCGTTCTTGTATTTTCCCCTTCCGTTCCTTTTCCTTTTTTTTCTTTTTTATTCCATTATACGAAATGCTATATAAATCTGGTAACTTTTGATGTCGCGTCCCTTTCGATTAACATGTTCGAATGAGCCAAGTAAAAGATTTGTGGCCTCCAAATGAAGTGTGATGGCTTTTGGCGAGAGTCACCGTTGTTCGGATTCCAAACCGCCCCCTTTGATCTCCACACCACCATCTTACAAATTGCTACCTTTACGTTTATTTATTACCAACGTGCCAATAAATCAACTTTTTCCCCCCCGACATAGTTGAATTATAGAAGCACTAATTTGGAAATTCTTACATGTGTACACACACCATTTGTTAATTTGTCAATATAAGACACGGTTAACGTTGTTTATTTTATTTATTGCACATAAATTCGTAATATTTTTGTACTTCTCGATGCTAATAGAAAAGAAAATCTTAAACGAGGTTAAACTGACAATCCTCATAAGATCTTTTAACGTAAAAAATGTCACGTGCAAAAAAAATCGGTCCCTGAAGAAATAAATCCCAGGCCCTGAAGATGATCTCAATAAAGATCGAAACGTTGGCACGGTAAAGAAAATGTTTTTCTGAAACCTACGTCACACCAGACCGCATCTCACGGTTTCCGAATAATAGTTTCGTCAAAGGTTCACCAAATTTAGCAATTTTGTTAAAGATTAGAAAATACCGTGAGTTTAGGGCAGGCGCAATGTTTCTGCTCGTGTATTGGCAACACTAAAATCTCCATTTTGTCTGTTAGGCTAGGAAATACCATGAGTTTAGGGTGAGTTTAGATTCTGAGCATTTCTGCAGGTGTCTTGCAAGTGAAAATTTTAAAACCCAGTTTATAAATTAAACCTTTCTAGCCCAATGTTGCTCAGAGAAACACCCATTTCAGCAATTTTGGTTAAGGTTAACTGGATAACCTGAGAACGCAGTGTTGTCCCTACAGTATGTATTGGCAACACTGATTTATTTAGCGCAAATGAAAAAATTTCCATCTTGGAATCTTCAATCTTAAGCATGACTCTTCACCTTAAACATGACTACATCCTGTACCAATTGTTATATTTATCTAGAAGTAATTTTTTTGAAAATGCAGTTTATAAATAAACCTTTCTTGCCTAAAATCGCCTCAGAGCAACGCAAACCTTAGCAAAGCAATTATCAGGATCAAAGGATAGCACAGCAATCTGACTTCGGATAAGAAGAATGCAAGGCGGGAGTAGTCAGGATATCTACTTATTATGTATCATCTTCAACATCATCATGGTGATGCTTGCCTAGTGCGAACATCTGTTCTATACTTGCTGCTTGTCCGGACTTAAAATTAAGAACCTCAAGGAGTAAAGAACATCCAGGGAAACAAAAATCAAGCAAATATGTTTTTATTGTGATCAATCAGGCGTACACGACCTTTTTTTGGTCTTTGATTTTATCGATCAATATATATATATAAACATCGGTGTTTGAACCAAAGCTCATCAAACGGACGGATTTCACCGTTCAACAAAATAAAAGGGCAAATTTCCTGCTAAATTGTCTACAATAACATTAGTCTTATGTTTGTTATAAAAAAATGACTTTTAAAAATATATAACATCAATAGTCAAAAAGGCGAGAAATTAATTTCCTGGCTACATATGTACAAACGATATTATTTACAATTGTGATTTTAATAATTTTTATGCTCACTCTCAGACATTAGATTTTCAACATGCTTGATGTTTTTTGTTTTTTACGAGTTTTTAAAAATAAATATAAAAGTAGAAATTTTTATAAAGAATATTTATTTTTCCGCTTAAGTTATATTGTATATAACCATTTTCAAAATATAGTAACATTTTGTAAACTAGTTTCTCACTATGTAATTCGACTGAATTTCTAATTTCAAACCCACGTAGTATTGAGAAAAAAAATTGTTATGAAAAAGGTCGTTACAGGACATTTTGGCCTGCCTATCCTTGATGGCTTGATTTCGTCATCTTCGTTGTTGTGGTCTCATAGGTCGAGAGAGAAAACGGTTTAATTCTTTCTAGCCCTAAGTTGAGCGACATCAAATTTAGAATTTTGTTTAAGGTTAGTGCGAAATCCCGTATTGAGGGGGGCGTGTTTTTGGCCCTTGTATTGGTAACACTGATTTATGTGGTGCCAATTCTAATTCGCCATCTTGGAATCTTCATTCATCTCAAACATTGCCTTTTCATCTCTTATCAATTGATATATTTGTTTAATATAGACTACTTTCCAAATCCGGTATATAAATTAACCCTTTCTTGTCAAATGATTCCTCAGAGCACCACAAACTTTACCAATTTCGTTTAACGTTAGTGGGATTTGTCCGGGCGCAGAGTTGCCTCTACATTTTTTCTGCCCGTTTATTGGCAACACTGAATGTAAAATTCGAACTTGGAATCTTCAATCCCCACATGGCTCTTCAACAGCAGGTAATTCTCGAATTAATTGTTATAGTTTTTCTAGCTGATCAAAATTTTCAAAGGTTTATAATTGACCTTTTCTTGCTAAAAGTTGCTTCAGAGCAATTATGTGTAAGGTTAACAGCAAATTCTGTCAATTTATGGCCGGCGCAGTATTGTTCCTACAGTGTTTCTGCCCGAATATTTGTTACACTGATTTTTTGGCGCCGATCTAAAATCTCCATCTAGGAATTTTCAGTATCCAACATAACTCTTCACCACTGCATCTCGTATTGGTTGTTACATTGGTCTAGCAAATATAATCTTTTAACTCCAGTTCATAAATTAATCATTTTTTGCTCAAAGTTGCCTCAGAACAACGCCAATTTTATCATTTATGTTTAAGGTTAACGGGAATCTTCTAAGGATAGGCGGGCAGTGTTGTTCTTGCAGTATTGCCCGTGTATTGGTAACCATGATTTTTTTTGCCCCAATCTACAATCTCCATTTTGTATATTCAATCTCCATCTTGGAATCTTCAGTCAACACCATGGATGGCTCTTCACCAACACAGCATCTCGTATCGTTTGTTATATTTGTGTAGCAGATAAAATCTTTTAAATCCAGTTTATAAATTAACCCTTTCTTTTCGAAAGTTGACTCAGAGCAACATTAATTTAATCAATTTTGTTTAAGGTTAGCATATTTTGTTTAGCTTATCATGTAATGTAAAAGCGGCGAAGTGTTGTTACTAGTGTCTCGCCCAGTATATATTGGCAACACTGATTTTTTTGATGCCAATATAAAATCTCCTTCTTGGAGGATAGGCGGACCAAAAGGATCCGTAACGACCAAAGTTCACATTCATCATCCCACAGGCAGCATGGGGAAATCTCAAGAACTCATACTTATATTAAAATTCATTTAAAACAATGAAAATTTACAGATAAAACAGTTTTTTTTTTCAAGTTAGAAATTATCAATTAGCCAATTAAATACAAGCTATTACACGATAACAACTGGACTTCATCATCTTTTATACAGGTTCCCAAAACTTAATATGATTGTCATATTAATATTAACGGATTTAATGTCTAAGATTAAAATCTTTCTAACGCTAGAAGAATGTAACAACATTATATTACATATACACTTTTTTTTGGCAAACATTGCACACACAAAAATTTTCTTAATACCTTAACGTAAGTACTTTAATTTAAGCATAAAAATCTATAAATTCTAACTCCAAACAAAAATAACTTTTCATCAGGAGTTCACAGCTCTTAGCTCCTTAACAATAATGTTTCCATCAAATGGAATGTTGGTCTAATTGGTACTAGTTTTGAAATAAAATAAGTTTTTACTTATAATAACAATTCACAGATAAATAAATGTCAAGGCGAAAAGCGAAAACTTCAAAACGCTTTAGATTTTCTTGTCAAATTTTATAATGTAATTTAATAATTTAAAAAGTTTCTTTTTTCACGAGTGTAAAATTAAATATTCTTTTGTCTTAACGGACAATTCAATTGAGGTCGTAAATAGAAGATCGGCGATAAATTTGGGCAGCACCTAAAATCACGGCTACTAGTTTTCTTTGGATAGTCCTAGCACTCTTAATTGTTTCAGGTTCAATATTGGCTTTGAAAAACACCAACTTTAGCAATGTTGATAACGATTGTCGACGGGATTACGCTAGTTTATCGGGGGCGCAGTGCTGCTCCTGTATTGTTTCTGCCCGTGTATTGGCAACACTGATTTGTTTGGCGCGAATCCAAAATTTCTATCTTGGAATCTTCAATTTTGAACATAGCTCTTCATCATCACTGCATCTCCTATCGATTGTTATATAAACCCGGCTGGTAAAAATGTTCAAATCCAGTTTACAAATTAATCTCTTCTTCCTAATGACGAGTTAGAGAAACACCAACTTTAAGCATTTTGTTAAGGTTAGCGAGAAATTCCTTGAGTTTATGACGGGTGCAGTGATGTCCCAGCAGTTTTTCTGCCCGTGTGTTGGCACCACGGATTTATTTAGCGTCAATCTAAAATCTCCATTTTGGGATCTTGAAACTTCAAAATTACTCTTCATACCATTCCATCTTTTATCGATTTTTATATATTTAAACAATACCCAGTTTATATATGGAGTTGGTTAATGTATATTAACCATCCCTGTTCAATGATGGATAGGAGTAACACAAACTTTAAGCATTTTGTTCAAGGTTGGCGAGTAATTTCTTGATTTTATTGGTAACACTGATTTGTTTGGCGCCAATCTATAACCTCTATCCTCACCGTGGATTAATATATTTGTCTAGTAGATAAATTTTTAAAACCCAGTTGATAAATTAACACTTTCTGACCTAATTTTAAGTCAGAGTAACACAAATTTTAAAATTGTGTTAATGGTTAGTACGAAATTCCGTGTGTTTAGCGCGGAAGCAGTTTGCTCCATGCAGTGTTTCGGCCCGTTTGTTGGTAACACTGATTTACTTGGCGCCAGTTTAAAATCTCCATTTCGGAATCTTCAATGTTCAACATGACACTCCAAGTTTTCTAACTAAGATTTCTAATTTTTTTTTAATATCTCTATCTTCATGGGCTACAAATTCAATACAAATCGTGAGAACACCAATTTCTTTTAGGTTGTTTTCTCGACTTATTTTTAACACACAACCAGTCGCATTTCCTGCTAGTTTTTGACGAATTCAATCTATCAGTCAATTTAGTCAGGTTGTATTCGAAGCCTATATTCCACTGCCCATAACTTAGAAATACTAACTAGTCCAATTATTGTTTAAATATAATTTATGAAAATAATAAAAATATAGCAATACTAAAGAAAGGCCACGTTCTCGAATGTATATAAATTCTTTCCGGTCGCAATTAATATTAATTTTGGTCATGACTAGCTTAACATAACGATTACTTACAAACAGTAGCAGGAAAATGGGACACGATCTTAAAAGCTTACAGGTAAGCTTGAATTGAATACCTGGGGTAGGGTCGCCTTATTGGCAAGAAAACAGGGACCATCGTCGTACGTGAAACTGATCCGTTAGGATAAAGACAAGGTTTAGGAGTTTGTCACTTTCCGCCTAGACGTAATTTTCGAGCTCGTATATTATTGAGGCGGCCAAGCTTGGTACATGGCCGTCATCGTGGTGTACTGAACGGTGCTGGTGTACTGGGCACTGTAGTTGTGGACGGGGTTCTGTTGCTGCAATGACGGTGGGATGAAGAAGTCCGACACGGTGTGAGACGGATGAGGAGGTCGCCATTTTTCCGTAGGTTGAGAGCCCTCCCCACTGTAATTGTAAGAAGGGTAGATGGGGTTGTACATGTTCGAATGGTTCTGCCCTTGTGCGGAACCGTTCAATTTGTTTCTCAGTATGCGGCTGATGGAGCTGACGGACGGCACGTTGAACTTATCACAGACGCCCTCGGCCAGAAGCCTGTCTCTTATTTCCCACGCGAATATCCCGGGATCTTTCAGCTTGAGCTGGCGGATGAAAGCGACCACTTTGGGGGTGGTCACCCTCGGCTTGCTGCCTCCAATCGCCCCTGGCAGGATCGAGCCCGTCTCGTTGAATCTGGCGAGGATCTTGGATACGCAGCCGTGCGAGACGCGGAGCTGCCTGGAAATGTCGCACGGCCTGATGCCGAGCTGGGCCAATTCGACGATTCGCAGCCTGATGACGTTGGGTAGCGGCCGGCCGTTCACGAACACACCTCCCAGCTGATTCGTCTCTCCATACGGCTGAGAAGAACAACTCCTCAAAACTGAAACACAAATTTAGTTTAGTGAATATGTAAAGAGGGTATTTCTAGGAAACGGAATAGCTTGCTGAACCAGAAGGCACTCGACTAATAAAATGTTTAGTGATCTAATTGATTGGTGTCCGAGTGGATCGAAGTCACGATAGCTCAAGTGGTTAGAGCAGCGGCGTATTGAGCCCGAAGGTCGTGGTTTCGAATCCCGCTCATGACACTAGCTTTTTCACCAAGACCTTAAACAAAAAGAATAATTAATCGAAAGAAGTAATTTGATCAATTAGACCACTAAACATAATGGATGAAAATATAATGTTGAAAAACTAAGAAGCGTACAACGGTTTTATTGAAAGTAATCAAATAACAGCCTTATCCAATCGACAGACTTGAGCTTGGGATTGATCAATTCTTCGTTTAATATAAAGATTAAAGACAGACATGACGATATAGTGAGTAATGTTTCATATTAGGTATGAAAAAGAGACCAGAGTGCCCAACTCTGTCAAATGCTTCCGTGACGTCAACAAAAACCTATGAGCAATAATAGGAATGATGAATTGAGTCTTTTTAAAAAGATGACAAATAATGTGATTTCTAAGGCATAAAATGCGGTTTCAACTACCCCTCTGGCTTAGGAATAAAACGATTAAGGATTCAACAATAACTATGGAGATTTGAGATTGACGCCAAAATAATCAGTGTTGCCGAAAACACGGACAGAAACACTCAGAGGCAACACTATAGTGTGGCGCCCGACGTAACCAACTGGGTTTCCTAACCAAAGAAACATGTTCAATTTGGTGCTTCTCTGAGCTAAATTGGGCTAGAAAGTATACATACATAAACTGGAATTGAACAATCTGGTAGAAAAATATAACAATCTGTACTAGATGTAATAAAGTGGTGAAGAATCATGTGGTGATAAATGCAATGAAAAAATGAAAATTCCAAGATGGAAATTTTAGATTGGCGCCAAATAAATCAGTGGTGCCAATACACGGGCAGAAGCACTGTGAGTCAACATTACGCCCCGACAATTCACGGGTTTTCCCGCTAATCTTTAACAAAATTGTTAAATTTCTTGTTTTTCAAAATTATTAAATATTTATAATTCTGAATTTATAAAAAAATCAGAAAGGGTTAAACATAACAATCGAAACGAGATGCAGCGGTGGTGAAGAAACATGTTGGAGTTTGAAGGTTCCAAGTTGTAGATTTTAGATTGGCGCCAAATAAATCAGTGTTGCCACTACACGGGCAGAAACATTGCCGGGGCACTACTGCGCCCACCCTAAACTTACCAGATTTCTTAACCTAATAAAATTGCTCAGCTGCTTGGAGTTCTTACGCGCGAACATTAGAAATGAAAGTGGTAATTTATAAACGGCTTATAAACAATTTTATCTGTTAAAATATAACAGCCGATATGAGATGTAATAAAGTGATGCATCATCATGTTGGACATTGAAGGTTCCAAGTTGTAGATTTTAGATTGGCGCCAAATAAATCAGTGGTGTGTCAATACACGGGCAGAAGCACTGTATGAACAACACTCACTGCGTATGCCCAAACTTTAGGACTCGCTCACTAACTTTGAACAAAATCCCTAAATTTGGTGTTGTTCTGAGACAACTTTTGAGCAAGAAAGTGTTAAACCTTTTTCTGTCACTTCAAGGCCCAAAAAGCCCAACACTGAAGATGGCGGCTAAAAGAGAAGATTTCCACTCTAACAAAGAGAAGTGATGTGCGAAGTTGTTATTCCCTTTTTTGACCAGGGTCTTAGCCTCAGTGACTTATTTACTGAAAGGAGAAACCATACTAATAAATATCTCGTTTTCTATTATATCGGTAGTGTATACATATATTAAAGTGAACGTGAGAGGGACGATGGTGAAATATTGAGATCCCATCGACCTTCAATTAAAGTTGTTGGATAATATGTGTAAAATGTTATGGAGAAATATGAAGAAAGTGAAAGTGAAATGAGAGAAGAAAGTACTTCGGCGGCGAAACGGAGACGGTTATTCGGACCCTGGACTACCGAAACCCGAGGTAGGTGCATAGTGTGTTTTTTGAATGGATTTCGAGACCCGTTCTTTCGGCCACGGCGGAAAGAAATTTCACAGTAAATTGCCACGTGTTCCTTATCGGTTTGTCGTTTTATTGACCTAGGAACGTGTACAAGTTGTTGAAGTTTCCATCGGTTCTCGTGTCTAAAGATCCTACCTTTAATTTGTCTCAGTCTAAAAACGGAATTTTATATTTTTCCACTTGCGGGAATCTTAATTGTTTCAAAGCCCTTTCTACAAACTCCATAGTGAGAGAAAAAAATCTTCGCCGTTTACATCTTCAAATTCCCACTTCTTACTCCTGCTAACTCCATGAGCCGTGAATTACGTCAGTAAAATAAATTAAACATGTACTGGCATCACTATAAGGATAACCAGATAGAGGGTACAATTTCGATATATAATGGACGGGATTTAAACCTCGTTATATTGCCAATTCGTAAATTTATTATGCTTGAGACCATAATTTTCAAGTTTCAAAGTTGCCTCGCCAATTCGTTGCTTTAGGCCATAATTTCAAGTTTTAAAAACCGGATGACTGGGTTTTTGAATGCCGTTAATGGTGTTATAATAAATTTGGGATTATTGGGTAGGTGTATTGGTTGCAATCTATAGGATAACCTGATGAAGGTTACAATTTCAATATAAATGGAATTGGTTCTAGATCTCGTCCTATTGCTCATTCGTAAATTCATTATGCTTGAGACCATAAGTTTCAAAGTTCTAATAAAGGGGCTTTATGGGCCATTCATTTCAAGTTTTAAATCCTGATGATTGGGGTTTTTGAATGGCTTTGATGATATTATTAAGCAAATTTATGATTTTACGGTATTGGCTGCATTGTACAAAAATAGATGTTCTATCTAACTTTACAATGATTACCTATCACTGTATATCATTATGGATCTATGATAAATGGGTAGGTTTATTAGCGACTCTGTATGGATAACCTGATGGAGGTTACAATTTCGATATAAAATACGCGGGTAAACACTATAATATTGTACGTAAATGAATATTTATTAACCTTAAAATTAATTAATTAGTTTCAGCCCCGAAGAAAGGGATTTATGAATGCCATTGTCATTATTATTAACTTTTGGATAATGTGTAGGTCCGTCAGTCTTTTTTGTGGATTTAGAACAAAAGGTATATTGACAACACTATAAGGATAACCGAATGGAGGTTACAATTTCAATATAATGTGGGGGTAGCTCTCGTCCATCGTTCATTTTATTTGTCACTGTGAGTTAATCATATCTTTTAACCTTGCAATTGAATAATTACAGTTTCAAAGCCCTTCACTGTACATGATAATCAGATGAAGGTTACAATTCCGATATAAAATGGACGGGTTGTAGACCTCGTTCTATTGTAGATTTCTTTCTATCAACCCACCAATTCTCAAGGTTAGATACAGTCTATTGGTCAAGAGGACCACGAAAAATAGTGGAGTTAGATATATTCAGTATTATAAGACAAATGTTCATATTTATTTTTTTCATGGATTTAGAATAAATGGGTAGATGTATTGGCAAAACTGTAAGGATAACTACATATAGGTAATAATTCCGATGTAATATGGACAGGTTGTAGGTCTCGTTCTGTCAGCTCACAAATTTCCTATGTTTGATATAGTTTCAATAGTATAAAAAAATATTCATATTTGTTTTTACATGGATTTAGGATAAATGGGTAGGTGTGTTGGCAACACTGTAAGGATAACCAGGTGGAGGTTACAATACTGATATACAGCCAAAAATGTTCAGTTAACCAACGATAAAGCATCAGTTAATCGAAATCAATGCATTAGCGTAGTAATAATAAAAAAACTTGTGACACTGAAAGCGCGACAAATCTTTCCGTGATGTTTGTTTGTGTAGCGTGTTACGGTACAAAGTCCCAAACAATCTTGAAGAGATAAACGTTTTCGACGTCGTCTAGAATAAAGAGAATAAATGAGACAATTTTATGAGATGTTAACGCAGCTAGGAGAGTTATATATTAACCCAGTCCCCCCCGTCACTGGCTGCATACGAGACTGGGACAACCCTCCTAATTATATCTCTCTAATTAGAACTCTGCCGCTTTTTCATCTCTGCCTTCCTTCCCAAGCCGAATGTTCCAAACTGGAAAGGCAACGAGTCAAAACATTTCTTAACCTTTCAACTTTGTGTTCGACGATTGATTACGAGCACGAATTTTTTATTTCGCAAAATATATTTTTCCGTGTTTTTTTAGAGTTAAATTTAAAAGTTTATTGAATTGTATGTAATAGAAGATAGGACGTTATTGATCATTTTATTCTAGCCATTCTCGCCTGTCAGACCCGATTCGCGTTTAGCCATCTTCAGTGTTGGATTTCTTGGTCTTAAATAGACAGAAAAAGGTATAACCCTTTCCTACCTACAGTTGCCACAACGAAACAATAATTTTGGCGATTTTATTAATGGTTTGGGGCGAGCACAGTGTTGTCTCTGCAGTGTTTCTTCCCGATCCCGGCAACACTGATTATTTTTGGCGCCAATCTAAAATCTCAATCTTGGAATTTTCGATCTTAAAAATGGTTCTTCACCACCACTGCATCTCGTATTTTTAAATCCAGTTTATAGATCAACCATTTCTTGTCAAACTTTATAAAAACTAGGTTAAAAAATTACCACTTTGTGGACCAGTGTTTGCTCAAGGAAACAGCAAATTTAGTAAGTTTTTCATGTAAGGAAATCCCGTGGGTTCACTGATTTCTTTGAATTTAGCACTACATCTCGTATCAATTGATATATTGTCAAATAAACGAAATTAATCCAGTTTGTAACTCTTACTGATCAATGTTGTCTCAGAGAAATACTTCTCGTATCGATTGTTAAATTTGTCTATTAAATTTTTTAAATCCAGTGTATAAATTGTTTTGTGTATTGGCAACACTGGTTTATTTAACGC